CTTGGATATTATAGAATCAAAGCTCCACCTAAGTCGAGAACTATGAGCTTTAGTTTCTTGGCTAACGAGGGAACTACTCCAAGTAACACTCGTCGTTTGAGCTCATATTGAACCCATATACAGATCTCAATGGAAGTAGTGAAAACCTAAAAGGGTTCGGCTCCAGATTATGACTGATTTACTGGATTTTTGACTCATTTTTTAGATACTCCTCGGAAGACAGAATAACGGAGTTTCGATCCAAAACTTTGCCAATAGATAAGCCTAATGGCTTGTAGAATATCCTGTAAGTTTCAACTGAGTCATATGCTTCTTCATCAAAATATTGAATGTCTAGAAATAGCTCTTGGCCACAAAAATTGAGTTCACTTGAAAATTCAATAATTCGACGGAGGAACATTCTTTTCGACTGAAACTTTCAGGACATTCTAAGAACCGTTAGGTCTACATATAGGCAAAGTTTTAGGTCGAAATTCGATTACTCGATCTTCCAGGATGTACCTGATAATAGGCCGAAAATTCAACAAGCCAGTCATCAATCGGCCGATGTCCAAGGCATAATAGGTCGTTGTTAAGGTTGTCTATCAAATCTACGAGAAGCAAGAGAGAAAGTGTTTTATCTTATATTTTAATTGCCCATTCAAATTGTATTTCATGAAAAAGACTGTACGTTAATGCTTTTTTCTTTAGTATAAATAAAATTTGTTCATTATCAATATTTTATTGTTTACGAATATTATTACGTGATCCTGAATATCAACTTGTTTTTGTTCAAGAAAATGGAATGATCGGTTTAAAAACTGTATATTTCTTAGAGTCATTTTTCAAATCTTATTTGATAGTATTTATATTTTAGCAAATGGATTTATATCTCAACATTCATTCAATAGATCAATGTGGTGATCATAATAATAATGAATCAACATATACAGCATGTAAAGTACTTGTACATATGCTTAGTAAGTCAATAAAATAAGATAGAAGAAAAAGAAAACAATGTATTCTATTCGTTCTTTTTCTTTTTAATAAAAAGATATTCTTCTTAAATTAATAATGCATACACCAAATCATATTGAACGAGAATATATTATATCAAGTGAAATAATTGAATCAATAACACGTCTTTTAAATAATACTCAAGATTTAATAGTTTTACAAAATATATTAAGATTATTAATAAATATGATTGATCAAACGTAAGAATTTATTAATATAAATTTTATGTTTATATTTATTTTTAATTATATAAAGAGAATTGTATGTTAAAGAAATAATTAAATTAGAAACAATTGATAGTTTATTACAAATATTATTATATAAAGATCTTGAAATAAAACAGTATGTAAAAATCGATTTGATTTCTTTTTAGAAAATATTATTTTTTTCTTTAGACTTTCTTTACAACTTATGGCAAATTTTCTTGGTCATCCAGAAGGACGAGAATGTATTCCACGTATACCAAATGATTTTCTTGATGCTTTTACTAGGTAAAAAAAAAACATTAATAGAAGTTATTAAAATATATTAATAAAATTTTCTTTTTGTTTAAATTATAGTCATTTAAGTCATAATAATGTTAAAGTTCTTGATCATACTATTTGGTGTTTAACTCATTGTGCTGAAAATGAAGATAATCGAAGACGAATTCGTCTAACTGGAGCTATTCCATTGTTATTATCACTTCTTGAGAATGGGTAAATAATTTGATTTTAATGAAAAAAATTTCTTTCTCATTTTTATATATAATTGTATTCTAGAAATCGTTTTTTTGATTTTTCATTACCATCAACAAATACTAATCAACGACAAACGGGACAAAATTCAAAGAAACATACACGAGATGATACAGAAGTAAATAAAATAATATAGAAAACAAAATGCTGTTTTAGATATTAGAATAAACAGGGAAAAAACTGACTTCCAAGTATTCGAATTAGATTAGAGGTCGAGTGTAGAATCATGTGGAATAGGGTTAGAGTAAGAACTTTTTTCTTAGGATATACAGTAGAAAAAAAAACATTACCTTGCACATCTCTAACCGATTAAATCACAGGAATTATATCTTTATTCTTCATAGATTTGAACTGTATAATGAATATTTTCTTTAGGATATTGATTGATATTCTTCGTGATTAACAAGAATATAACCGTGGAACATTCTCGATTATTGTAGAATTCTATAACATGTATGCTTTATATTTGAATAAATAATACCACATTGAATGACTTTAATTCTCGTTAACATTCATCGAAATTACCTTGTGAATATCCTTTGAGATTTATTACATTTGCAGAAAACAGATTCTTAAATTTGAAATATCATGTACTAAAGATTTCCAAATAGTCAAACAATTGAATTTAAGACATCGGATAAGGGTAGCGGAGTTTTGGCATGTGTTACTGAGCATTATACTTACGCAAGTTTCGTCTCCATAAATCGAAGCATTCCTTGCTTACCGAAATCTGTTCTATTAGATTTACATCAACGTCCGAGTTCAACTTGAGTCGCGTTACACTTAATTGATCGATACTAAGCTTCATATAAGACAAACGATAATAATAATTTCGTTTTCGTCAATTTCGCGAAAGCTCTTATGTATTCATCAAACCCGTTGAATCTCGAAAAATTGACCTATATCAAACATTGAAGCAATAACTTCGAAATAAAATATAAACTAGAATTTAAAAAGTTGATTTTAATATTAAAATTTAGGCAATTTCACGTCGTGATCAATTATTTGATATGGAATCTGCGTGTTGTACTTGTCTAGCTGAACTTTCATATGATTATACAAATGGTCAAACAATTATTGAACGAAATGGTATATACTTATTAGCAATATTACTTTTTCCTGAAAACGAAGATCATCAACGTTTAGAAAAATATCATCATCTTCAAGTAAATTATTTTGAAATAATTTATAAGTGTTTTTTTTTGTTTTATTTTACAGCGTAATATATTTCGAACATTGCGATATTTATTTTCATTAAATAAAAATCGTGATCAATATAGACGGTTATTACCAACACAAATATTTGAATTATTTCTTAGTGTTGGTAATTTTCAACGTGATCTTAATATGTATAAATCTATGACAGATGCTTGGAATTCAATTTCAATTGATGACTTAACTAAAATAAAACTTGAACGTCTTCAGTCACTTAATCCAAAACAAGAAGCAACTAGATTTATACGTGATTATGGCGTTTATGAATGTCTTGGTTCAGGAGCCTTTGGTTCTGTTTATCGAGTAGCTCGACGTGGAACAATAATGATGTATGCACTTAAAGAGGTTTAATCAAATAAATTGATTTCTTTTTTTTCTCTGTAATATAATTATTCATTTGTTTAATCTTTAGATTGATAATCGTTCATTAACAACTGATAGTGATCGTAGTTTAGGACAACAAATAAATGAAGTTAAAATAATTCGTGAAGAACTTCGTCATCCAAATATTGTTAGTTATTATCGAATATTTGCTGAAAGTAATAAAAAAGAAACACAATATTTTTTTTCTTTTTCTTTTCTTTTTTTTTGTTATTTATTAAATTCATAGATGATAAATTATATATTGTTATGGAATTAATAGCTGGATCATCATTACAAGATTATTTATCATTATTAAAAGAAACAAATCGAACAATGATTGAAGATAATATTTGGAAAGTTTTTATTCAACTTATACTTGCATTAAGATATTTACATAAAGAAAAAGGAATTGTTCATCGAGATTTAACTGCTAATAATATTATGTTAGACGATGAATATAGAGTTAAAATTAGTATGTATTCTTATATTTTTTATGTTTCGATAGATGTGTTATAGATGATATCAATGACGACTGTTTTTTGTTAAGATTAGATTTGAAATATATGTTAGCGTCCAATCTCACGAGGAAACATCTCTAAGTGTAATTCATCAATCAGTCCTTATAGACCTCCTCTCGTGAGACTCTACTTTTGAGCTAACATACATATATCTCAAGTTTACTGTGTTAGTTGTGAAAGTATACGAGTTTATTCTGAATTAAGAACGACGAATAATTCACTGGAACTCTTAGTCAACTATACTGATGAGAAAATTTTTCTAACTGTCGAATCGCTTTCATTTTGACACTGTTGCTATTTGATTGGTCATGATGAGTAATGAAAAAGTCTGTTTTAGTTTGGTCTTTCGTTCTGTAATGGTTGAGTTGTGAGCGTTTTATTCGATTTTTTGCCCTATGAGTGTAGAACAGCTGAGAACAATCTGAATGCTGAAATTTGTCTACAGATCGACCTTATTGCCACTAGAAACACCTCAACATTTGAATAAGAATGAACGTATGCTTGCTACAATATTTAAATTTAAAAACAACAACTGATTTGAGCTGTATTTCAAAAGAAGGACGTTTCTATCATATGTTAATATCTCAATAGGGATATGTTTGTCCTAGCCTAAACTTTAGAGTTTTTCTAGTGATTATAAAGCCTATCTATGGACAAAGTTTCAGTTCGAGTTTAGATGATTCAGATTCTCAACTATTCTATAAGTTCATAGGGCAAAAGAACGAGTAAAACACACATAACTCTATCAACAATGATCGAAAAACTAAACCAAAACGGACTTTTTTTTACTATTCATCATGACCTATCGAATGGTAATAATCTGAAACGAAAAGTGGTTGGACAGTTTGGAATGTTCTCTCGTAAGATTCACTGTAGTACTGCTTCACTAAAATTTATTAGCCGTGAAACACTAAGATACTAATTTTGACAGATTATTTACTTTTGATGTAATTTTAGAGTTCATTAGAAATGTCAAATCTTGACATGAAAGTTTCTATGATTTAAAAAAATATATCGACAGTTCAAATAATATATAATATCAAAAAAAAAACTGACATGGTCACGTTCCTGGGAACTTAAAATTAACAAAATAGCTTATTTTGTGTTATAATCAAGACATTTTTTAAAGCGCAATTCAGTTCATAAAGAAAATTTCGAATCTATTTCAAGTATCTGTATGATTTATGTTTAGCAGGATCTATAAGATCTGAGTCTCCTTTAAGGAATTCAAAAAGAATGGTACCCATTTCTTCTCAAAATTCTTCTGACACTATAGAAGTATATTCTTAAAACTAGACATGAACGAGATTAAGTCTTTTTTTAATTCTTTGTATAAAATTAAAAGAAATTTTTCTTCGCACCACGTGTCGAATAATTATTTCTAATTATCAACAACTTCGAGATACTCTACATCCGTTTCTTCACGATTATTATCCTTGTAAGAAGTTTGATTAGACATACATGTAGTCAGTTAATTTCTTCTCAGATTACATTTTTCTATGAGAATAAATACAAATACTCAATACCTCGGGTGAAATACTATATCAATATGACTTTTCAAATTTTAACAAAATTCTTGTTTTCCTTTTTTCTAGCTGATTTTGGTTTAGCTAAATTACGTGATAGTAATTGTAGTAAAATGAATTCAGTTGTTGGAACATTATATTATGCTTGTCCCGAAATTATTCAACATATGCCATACAATGAAAAAGCTGGTTTGTTGTATCATGTTTCTTTTTTTCTTTTGTATTGATTTTCATTTAAATTTGTCTTTTAGATATATGGAGTTTAGGCTGTGTACTTTATCATATGTTAACCTTAGTTCCACCATTCTTTACATCAAATATTCTTTTACTTGCAAGTAAAATTTGTTCCGGTGAATATGATCAAATACCACTAAAATATTATTCTGATCGTATACGACAAATAATAATTGAATGTTTATGTATTGATCCACAATATCGTCCAGATATATGTTGTGTAGCACAATTATGTACTGAACAATTAATGTTATATACAGATCGTTCATGTACAACAATTCAAACATTAGAAAAACGTTTAAGACAACAAGATCATCAACGTGAATTTGATTTAATAAGACAACAATCACAAGTACAACAACAATCTATGTATCAACAATCATGTCTTAGTTGTTCAAGTACAAAAGAATCATTAGGTGGTAATAGTGGTGGTATTGCTGATGTTAGTTTTGATGGAACAGATGGACAACATGATATGGTTAAATCAGATGCATTTACTGCTGGTAAATATAAAAATATTAAAACAAGGAATAGTTTCATATCTTATTTTCTATAGTTTCTGATTGTGAAACACCTGATTTGCCAACAAAAGAATTGACTAATAGTGCTATTCCACAACCACCAAGTGGTCCAATAAGACAAAATAATATAAGACGTTCCATAGGTCGAGTTTCTTCGGAGCAATTATTAAATTCAAATGAAGGTATGAAAATATAAATATTATCACCTTTTTTGAAAAGAATATTTTTCTTTAGCTATGTTTTATCAAACTCGATCACCTGAACCATCAAATATATCATCTGAAAGTGGTTATGATAGTACTAATACAATACAACAATCAATTCCTCCTTCGTCATGTTCATCAAATATGGAACGAAAGTAAGTAGAGAAGAATTAATAAATATAATTATTTGAAGTTAAAATAAAAATAAGGATTTTCACAGATGTCTAAGTGACATTTATGGAGATTTTACTTAAACTCAAGATGACATATTTTAATCAATTTCATTTCTACTTCATCTATCTAGCTTTCGATTGACTACTCCAATTAGTAGTGAAAAGATCTTGAGAAAATAAATTCTAGACATACATAGTGAAGGGATGCACCTACTGAAACACTCGACTTCGATTAATACTTCATCTAACTAATTTTTCTCAATATTATAATCGAATAGCTCTGACAAAGAAAAGAAATAATTTTTTGCCTCCTTATATTTTAGTGATAACTTAAAAGCATTAATCTTATGTAGCATTTTATAGTGTTGTTTTTTACTTTTTTTGATGGTACAATTATTCCATAAGAAAAAATCGACACTGAAGATTTCGATCTTTTCGAAATATTCTGGACGATCATTCTGACTTTTCGAAATGGCGTATTACTTTATTATTTTTCATCGTATTTTGCCGTTCCTATCGGGAGACATACTAGTCAAAATTCTCTTAGCAGGTTTGTGTGAAAGATCTGTGGAAAACCAAGACGTCCACAACCAGTTTTTTAGATTCTATTAGAACATTTTGCAAACAAACTAATATGATAAAAAAAAAAAATTTCTGAACAAAATAAAATGTTCTTCCAAGCCCTCCACGACGTTTCTTCAGCGAACGACAATCATTGTGCAATAGTTCTCGAGGGCACTTTTCTGTTTTCTTTTAGTGAAAATTTCTATGAATTTACTGTGTTTTACACTTTGGGATCTTTCGTAGAATGAGTACAATTCGTTAAAGATAGGTCGTGAAAAGTACAACTAAGACATCTTTTCTTTGCTGAGAAATGTTTTTTTCTATTCTATGAGCTTGTTTGCAAAATATTTTTAATAGACTGAAGAAAACTCGTTTTGAGTGTCTTGGCTTTCCCCAGAAATCGTTCGCCTAAACTTGTCAATGAAAATTCGACAAAAACCACTCCTGATAGACAATTGTTTCAGCTGTTTAAATCTTTTCTCTGATTTATTCTAGCTATTAGCATTAACTGCAAAATGCTTCGTATCTAAGCTGATTTGCCTCGATTTTATATGAACTATTTCCTCATGGCATTTCTAGAATATTAAGTAAAAGGATAATAAATATGTCCCAATATAGATACAATAAAACAATCACGCTGCGATTAGCAATACGACAGCTATATCGTGTTTAGCATGTTAGTCCCGCAGAGATTGCATTAACAGCTTTTTTCGTTAGTAAACAATCATCGTTTCTTCTACTATTTCCATTGTTTGACGATACTATGAAAAATACCATCGAAATGGCATTAGTTTCCGCTGTTCTCTTGAACTTCGGTATATACTTAAATAATTTTATTGAATCAAAGAAATATTCTCTTGATCGAATCTCGAACTATTTATTCGTTGTTGTTTTTATTTTAGGCAAAGTCCATTTAATCGTTCACGTCAATCATCTGTAACTGGATCAATAAGTATATCTCAAAAACGACTTCGACCAACTGATCCTGTTAGTCAATTACTTGATATAGTTCATAAATTAGTTTATATATCTTTCGTAAGTTAATTAGAAAAATAGAAAATTTTATATTATTTAAGTAAATATTATTTCTTATTTGGTTAGGTACCATCAAATACAAATAATAATAAATATCGTCGTTTAATAGATCGTTATAGAATATTTTTATTTTCAAAAGGTTCATCACAAAATTTAAAAAGTGAATTATCAAAATTATCAAACCATTTAAGTGATTGTATTGAATTTGATAGTGGCATTGGAAGACAAAATATCGGCATACAATCATTAACAAATTCATCACGTTCATCATCACCTAGTTCATTGAATCTCAAAGCTGGTAACAAAAAAAAGAAAGACTTTTATCACCTAAAAACTTCTTTCACTTTTTTTATAAGTTGATTTGACTATTCCGGATGGTAATGAATGTGTTACATATGAACAAATGATGACATATATTGAACAATATCTTCAAGAAACAGATTATTATAAAGATACAATAGTGTCTATATCATCTAGTGAATCTCTTCCACCAACCATCCAACGAAATCAACGACCACCATCAGGCAAAAAATGATCAAACAAAAAAAACATACATATATATATATAACATTTTCTTTTCAAATCCATTTGTGTACATAATTCTGTGTCTTTTAAATCTGCAAAAAAAATGACTCGAGTGATATTATTTAAATACAAGAATAATTATGTTTATTTGGATAAATAAACATGACTGAATAAAAAAGAAACAATTTCAATATTGACAGCAACAATAATTTATTTTTCTTCTTTTATGTTTGTTTTATATTATTTTACTAGAAGAAAATAATCAAAATAAAATATTGTCTTATATAATCGATTAGGTATTAAATAGTAAAAATTATTATTGCATGTTTGTTTTCTCCTTTTGTTTTTGTTTTAAATATCATATACCGAAATGCCGTTTCGTTTGATAATTATTCTTTCTATACACACGTGACTACAAAAGAAAATTATTCAAGCGAAAAATCACATCACAATAAAAGCTATCAATATATTTACTATTTTCGAATATCATATATTGATAGAATCATATTTAGTGTAAAGACGATTGTACAGATATCAACCTATCATTATAAATGACAGAAATATTGCCTCCTACGACAAGTGAACGAGTTCAAACATCCAAGACTAATCCAACACTTCCTCTTGGTAATGAAGATTCAAATATAGTACCAAATTTACAACAATCTACATATACTATTCCAGTAACAAAATCTCTAAGGAAAAATCCAACTTTTATTATATGGTCAATATTTAATTTATTATTAATACCATTTGGTATACTTTGTTGTTATTTTTCATATAATGTCAATAAATTTAAAACGCAAAATTGTTATGTATTAGCAACAAAATGGTCAAAACGTACATTTGTACTTAATATAATAACAACATTACTTATGATTGGTATTATTATTAGTGTTGTTATGTTAAATTATGATTATAAAAAACGAAATTCAGGATCTACTGTCAATCAAACCGAACCAATTTATATTCCATGGCAACCAGGACGTTAAATAATCTTTTATTCTTTTTTTAAAAATACATATATATATATGACTAAATCTAAGGAAAAAATCTGACATTAAATAATTTTAAATGATTTAAACATCATCCAAATTCCATATACCATAATTATTGTTGAAATAAACATTCCCATTATTGGATCAATATACCAAATATTTTGATTTGAATAATAAATTTTTATACTAATAACGACTGACAATGCCATTAAACCAGATATAAATGTATTGAATGCATCTGAATATGCTGATATAACATTAAGTTTTTTTGCTACTGTATATTTTCCAAATGCTAAACAAAAAAATATAAATGTTTGAATTGTAACAGCAACAGCTAAATAATGATTTGGTATTGGATGAATTTGATTACGTATATCAAGTACTGAATCAATAAATACACCAAAACCGGATATAAAAAAAAGTATTGCCAATATTTTTAATACGTAATTTTCTCGTTTTGCTTGTTCATCTGAACTTGTAAAACGCCATATAATAGTTAAAAATGCTAATACATCAAGAATAGTATCAACAGCAAAACCAAGTGCTGATACTGATTGTTCTTCAACAGCTAAGAAAAACGTTATTAAACCACAAACTGTACTAACAAAAATTGATATGATATTTAATGTTATAAGTGCATGACGTGTTGTTGTTTCATCTTCAATTGATAATGTTTTATCTGGTGAAACAAATAAATCAACTTTTTCATTATTTGATCGTGTTACAATAGTAAATTTTGGTGCCGGGGTATCATCATCAAATCTTTCATAACGAGCCATGAGAGACAAGAAAAAAAAATCGCAATGATGATAATAATAATAATAATAACAATAATCTAGAAATAAAATATAATCTTCTTTCAATTGTTTCTCTTCGTGATTGACTAACAGAAAGGATCACATCATTAAAAAGTATATATATTATGTGACTGAATAAATATTTTATGTTGCTTTCATAGTTTCCTTTCTTTTTTTTTTTTTTCTATTAGCGAGTGTTATTTCTATTTTTTTTTCTCTGTTATTAATCGTCTCTAACTTTTCTCGGTACTTGATTGCTAAGGCACTAATAATACTTTTTTTTTCTCTTCAATCATGCCAACAATATTACTAAAACTATTTGATAAGTATGCACGAGAATGCAGGTGAATTAGGGACTGATGGTCGTACCGGAAACTAAACTCTAAAACTATAACGAGAAACATACACGAGCATATCTTTTATATCAAACTGATTTTTGTGTCGTTTCAAGATAAGAAATAATATATAAAAATGCGCAGAAAATATGCCCATATCTTTTCTACTATGACATAGATAGATTGAGGACAACATATGTTACTTTGAATATTATTGCTACGTCAACAGTTGATGCGTGGTCGTATTTGTTCGTTCCATTTTTGTTTGCTTTCTTACTTAGATAACAGTTGTATGTTAGTATAAACAATATCTGTAACTATTTTCCTTCTTTGTAATACTTCTTTTTCAATATCACCACTTTTTTTTGTCTTCTTCTGAGACTTTTTTCCTAACAGCGATATCAATTAATTATAGATTCTATAGATATTCTCTTTTTTTTTACTCGTGCAGAAAAAAGAAACATGCGAATAATACGTAAATTATAAATGTTGCCTGAAAACATCTCATATTTAATATATATTATTTTAGATTATTTTTTTTGTTCTTTTTTTCTCAATAAAAAGAGTAACTAGAAGATAAAAACAGAAAAAGAAAATAAACTAAAAGCAAAAGAAATGCCAGCAACTAATTCACTTTTCTAGTAACTACGAAATAGAACAGAGAATAAGGAAAAAAATCTTCTTTTTTCATTCATATATAATCCAAATAATAAAAAAATCCAACAGTGTTAAGCTTTGCCGATTAATAGTGTCATTTTCTAACATACAAAACAAGAAGAAGACCAACATATTGAAGAAAAAGAAAATGAAACAAATCTATACTTAGAATATAGCATAACTGCAAAATGTAAGAAAAAGAGAACAGATGTCAATATTAATCAATTTCAATAAATAATCAATGTTTTCATAAGGGTACTATTGACAATAATATTTATATTAATAATTCTCGTTCTATTCTTTTTTATGAACTTGATGTTTACTATTGAATAATATTGATAGACAAAGCTAAAAGCGAATATGTGATAAATAATTTTCACATTAATATCATAAATAATTAAAACGATATTCTACTTTTCTGATAAACTAATTGAGAATAACATCATTACTATCTGCTATAGTTTCTTATAATTATATCAAATCATTCTTTGTTCAAATTGTTGCATTTAATTTTCTTCTTTCTAATCAAAATCTATTTCTCAAATTCGCTTATTAAAGAAACATTATTATATTGGCTGAACATTTTACATTAATAATTATATGTGTCAAGTGAAATTAATTCCATAATCTATAAATCGTTATAAGCACAAACAAAAGAAGGTCAACGAGTAAAACTCTTATATATAAAAAAAAAATAAGTTCTATTATGAAGAATGAACTCTTCATTTTTTATTTTCATTCATGTCAATTGAATGATAAAATTTAAATAAAAAGAGAATCAACTGTTAATTGATAAAGAAAATCTTTGAGAAAAGAACATTTCAAGTTAATAATAAATAAGAAAATATTTTCAATATAACATAATCAAAAACTATTATAGGTCTAATATTTCTAGTAATGAAAAACACTTCATTTGTTCTATTTGATTTACATTCTCATCGAAATATCAATACATTGCTATTCTTTATCTTTCATTTTACAATGATTTAACATCGATGAAAAAATGTTAATTCACAAAAAAAAAAAACAATTGTATCAAATTATTTTTCTAATATATTTGCATACATCAAATTAAAATCAAAAGAAAAAAGTACATTTGAGTTTGATCATTTCATCTATTTTTATTTTATTTAATAAAAATATTCGAATAAATCGAATAGATAAAAAAAAAGCATCAATCAATGAAGACATCACATTCATGGTTAATGTTAATTAACATGGAATGAAGCAAACTAAATAAGATTTCTGTTAATAATAATAATAATAATAACAACAATTGTTATTCGAATGGAATCCAGCTTGAACAAAGGTCATCAGATAATTACCTCGAATATGTTCTGCTCTAAGATATATATATATACTGCCAACAACAATAATAATTGAATAACGAGCATTCTCGGGTGTTCTTTTAGCTTATGTTCACAAAAATGTTTCTTGCATAGTTTAATAACACATGATTGTTGATTCTTTTGTTTGATATTTATATCAAGTTTGTTTGTGTGATTCAAAGATGCACTGAGATTGCCAGTATTTGAAGAGAGGAGGGGGGGGGGGGGGCGGGGGGTATCGATTGAAAGATTTTTGCTAAAATCGATCGGATTTTGGAAGGAGGATTTGAGCGTTTTTTTTTGTGAATTTTTCAAGAGTCGAGTTCGTCCCGAGCACTCGGGGCACCCCCGGTGATGTTTAAGATGTATGTATTTTAATATAAAATTGTTGTTTAAGGGTTCATTGCTCTTTTGTTAGTTCAGCTATAATTGAAAAATTTCTTTCTTTTCTTCTAGGGAAAAAAAGTAAACTACATACTTTTCTTCTCTTTCTCTCTCTCCCTTGGTTTTAACAATATTATTTGCTCTTGTCTTCTGTCTTTTTCTTTCTTATTGTAGTTTCTTTGTATACATATATACATATTCTATATATTGACGTGGCATCGTTAAACTTGAATCTATCTATAGAACTTCTACAGATAATATTCTATCCGTGTACTTGTATGTTTTATTTCTCAGTGCCATTTATATGACAGTTTGATATCTAGTAACCTTTTAGTAAGTGTCAAAGTACTACACTAGCTATGCTTTTTGAATTAATAAACATTTACAAATATCTATAAATTAATTCTTTAGATATGTTGAACGATAGGACCAAAACAACGAATAATGTTAACTATCAAACATGGTTTTTATCAATGTATTTTTCTACTCATACAATATATGTATTATTAATATTGATTTTAATTGGTTGGAATACATATAATACACAGCAATGTCGAATATTAGCTGAACGACAATTACAAATAGAAAATATTCTTACAGGATTATTACCTTCTTCATCTTCAATACCATCTTTTTCTCATCAACCAACATTAATTGAACAATGGTTTAGTAGAATTTTTCATTTTATACGACAATTAACATCGAAAGCTACAACTAAGATTAATAATAGTAATTCTATTGTTAAGCCATATACGGTAAGAATTATATTTTCACGAAAAAAAAAATAAATTGGTAGTTTCTTCTCAAGTGTTGTGTTTCTCTTTGGTTTTTTTGTATCGATGGTATCAAACCAAAATGATCATTGAGATTTATTTTGTAAATACTTATGTATCCTTTCATTTTCATTAACTAAGCTCATAGAGATTGACAGGCTTGTGTACTGACTAATTAGATGAACATATAAGTTATACAATTCGTATAGAATAGAGTTGTATGATATTATCATTATGACATATTCTAATTCTTCAATCAGTAATTAATAAATAAACAAGTATAGACACTCGATTATCATGCAATGAGTAGAGCGAACTTCCATACAAATATCATTTACTTTTTGTTTATTTGTCATTATGTGATATAACATTCTATATGTCAAACTTGCTGTTTGTATAACACAAAACAACATGATAAAAAAGAAAATAATCATTAATGAAGCTGAATTAGATTATGTGTTCTTTTTTTTTCTGTTTAATTTAATAAAAACTTTATCTCATTCATTCATCCTATACAATGTTTGCTTAGTCGAGCAAAAATTAGAAGATTGATTGAAGAAAGAGAACTTATATTTTTCTTTTAGGCTACAGCACGTGAACGACGATATATTCAAGAACCTATAATATCTAATTGTCAATGTCCTCCGGGTAAAATTTCCTATGTTACTTAGATAAAATAATAATTGTATAAATGTCTTATAGGTCCAAAAGGCGAAAAAGTTCGTTTTCATATTTAATGAATAGCATAGAATTTTTTATTTTTACCTTAGGGCGATCGAGGTTTTGCAGGATTTCCGGTATGATAAAGTAGATTAATGATGTTGTGGAAAGAAATTTTGTTTTTTTTAGGGTGAAATGGGACCAAAAGGAGAACGAGGTCTTCCTGGTTCGATTGTGTGGAATGGTATCAAAGTAAATATAAGTTTTTCTTTTTTGGGAGCCGTAAATGTCTATAGACAGTTGCTAATTTATATAGGGTGAAAAAGGTGAACCAGGTCGTGATGGAGAATCAACTCGAGAAGAAATGTTGGCACCATCTCAAGACAAATTCATTCAAGGACCACCAGGACCACCGGGTCCACCCGGTCCACCAGGACAGAAAGGTGATATGGCTTCTGCTGGTAATAGTGGTTTTAATAAAGCTGGGCTACCCGGACGAGATGTATGTTCTTTTTGTTTGTTTATATTTTTGTCTTTATCTATTCTCTATTATTTGTGAATGTTAGGGTTTACCTGGTGAAAAGGTATGTAAAGAAAAAGCAAAGAAAGCTTATATACTAAGATAAATCAGCAGAATATAAACTAAAAGAGAAACGAAGCAACGTCTAGTCTATGTTTCTTATGGATCTGTTCAGCTACCGTTTGTCTATAATTGATATCCTTTGCTTTAGTATATATATATATGGTCAGTTGCATGTTCTTGTTGCTCTTCGCATGCATGATATCGGAAAGGATATCATTTATTGTAAAAAAATAGGGTACAGAATGTGATTGAGTGTCAATGATAGCGTCTAAAATGCATCGTTTTACTATTATGAGCGGGGATTACGGTTCACTAGGAACTAAAGGTGATCCTGAATATTTAATTATTGAACAAAAAAATGTTTATAGTAACTCATGGTTTACCCGCAAGTCAGATAAAACAACTATTTTAATCTCATTTATTATGTTGTTTTTTTGTTTAAGAGTCGGTCCGCTTTCTGAAGAACGGCTCATTAGAAGAGTTTAAAATTTTCAGTTCATGTAGATTTTGACAAGTGGAGCAGAATTTGTCATAGATTCAAAGTACCCAGATGCTGTCTTCTATAAGATACTGAGACCATAATGGCGAGGAATGACTCTCTTTTCTCCGAGATGCTGTATTCGATTGAACACGAAATTTTTTCTACAGAGACTTGACATCGTTTGAGGCCGGTATCTTTTTAATTTTTGTGCTTCGAATAAAAAAGCGAAGATATCTTTAAAATGCACCTTTTTTTGAATAGAACTATAAAAAATCAACAGAACAGTAGTACTGAAATAAATCGGCTGGAGAAACGAGGGCATTTCAACAGTTTTTTTTCACGAAAAAAGTTGGTTTGCGAAAAATGCAAAACAATATCCAATGTTCGATAGTTGGATTTCTTCTTGAATTTTTAACGTTCAAAGATAAATTTTTGATCTCGAAATGTACTCAGTAAATAGATACTGCTTCACACTATACAATGATCACAAAAAAAAATTGGGTTACGAAAGCGGGAGACATTACCCTTACGTTCTGGACTTCCCGAACGACATCGATGTGATGCTATCGATGGAATAGAAGGAGATATGAACTATCAAAGAATTGTCATGACAAAAAGTAAGGATACATTCATGAAAGTGTTAAGAGTTAGATCAATATTTTTATTGCATATAAATTACATGATATTTTTCTTCAAGGGTGATCGAAGTATAAAAGTGAAGTAGTACATATTCAAAAAATCCATTTCGATTAAAAAAATTGTCTTGATGGGTTCACCGAGTCTTCTAGAGTGTAGAGTACAACGAAAGTTGTAAAAACACGTTGTTTTTTTATTTATCATTGTTTTTAAACTATGCTTTAGTCTTCCATGTCAAGCAGGATTAAATAAACAGATATTCGATTGAGAAAATCCTTATCTAATAGTGATTTAAAGAAAATTCTTTTATTACGAGGAGTATTCATTTTATTTCTATAGATTAAACGTAGGTATGGAATCAACTGGTGTCAAGATAAATTTTCCTTATCATTTATTTAATTTTTAGCAGTAGTTGTTGTTGCTTTAAGGTACAAAAAGACAACGAAGTTCTTGATTATTCTTTAATATGAAAAATATGTTTGTCCGGTGAATGCATTTTTGTGTATTTCAAGGAATACCAAGAAAACGTTTAGCAACATATATTTGTGCTTAGTTTTGTTTTTTGCATTGAATGTATTTTGATATTCAGTTCTAATGTCGTATATTCACTCATTTATTTAAGACATAGACGACGTTGCTAGTTTTCTTTTTAAGTATAGGAAATTATTATTAACATTATTTGATAAAATTTATTTCTTTGTTACAGGGTAATCAAGGTGAACTAGGTATTCAAGTAAGATTTCTACATTCAATTTGTTTTTTTCTAATACTAAAAATTTATTACTTTTTCTTCTAGGGTCCACGAGGAGACAAAGGCGAAAAAGTATGTAAATGATTCTAAGAAATATTTTCATACTAAATTTTCATTTAAGGGTGAAGAAGGAGCAGCAGGAAAACGAGGATTTCCGGGTCGACCAGGTTCACCAGGTCCTACCGGAATGGATGCACTTCCATGTCCACGCGAAGTTTTACTTAATTTCGATAATATGTGTAATTCATGTTGTAAAAAAACATAATGAATAAAGATTTATTGTAAAACAAAAAGTTTCATTAAACTATTTATAATTTTTCATTAATATAAAATTTCATATTTATTCTCCGGTGTTTTATTTTTAATATATTAACAAGAAGAACTAACTAGCATAAGATTTTTATTTGTATATAAATTACAGTTTGTGTTTTTGTTTTATACTATAAGTACTTTTTAAAGTTTCTAATTTATATTAAATATCTGGAATAAATAATAAACGAAAGTTTTTTTCTAAGATGAAGAAGTCTTTGAAAGATTTGCTACGACAATAGTTGATATTTATTAACTATTTTTTTTTTAAAGTTTTTAGATCATTTCAAATTGAATAGAGATAACAACATGTACAAATTAGATAAAAGATATTTCTGTTCAACGTTGACGTTGAAGTGCATCAAGTATAAGTGGACTTTTATCTTTTAAACTCTTGTCTGGTTTTGATTCTTCTATTTCAAATTGACTATTTTCAATTCCATGTATATGTTGAACATCTTCAAGTTTTTCTTTATAATCATTTAGCTTCAACTTTTCTCCATGCCATTCTGTATCTGCTATACCACCATGTGTTTCAAGTTCATCAATAACTTCTTTAGCATTCATTTCTTTAGCCCATGCTAATGGTGTATTGCCATAATAATCCTAAAGCACAAAATATTTTTTTTGTTTCATACGAATAATTCACTTAATCATACTTTAATATTAATATCAGCTCCATTTTCTAAAAGCAATTTTACAGTATCAATATAATTATGTCCAGAAGCTAAATGAAGAGGACTCCACCCAGTTTGATCTAATGTATTAATTGGTATTTTGCCTTTTTCAATTAATAATTTAGCTACATCACTTAAACCATCATCAACAGCAAAATGTAATAGATAACATCCCGTTGAATTTCCTTTATTAATATGCATATCAGATGGATATATAACTTGAGCACCATAATCCATGAGAATTTCAATGAGTTCTATTTATTAAGAAATAAAATCGAAAATATTATCCATTAATAAAAAATTTTATTCATACCAGTATCACGAAAAGCCATAGCTATTGCAATAAGATCCATACCTTGAACAAAATCACAATCAATTTTTGCACCACGATTTAATAAAATTTTAACATTTTCTTTACTATCACGATTAACAGCTGTCATTAATGGAGTCCAACCAAGGCCATCACGTATTTCTAAATTATCAGTATAGTCTAATAATAAAGATAATAATTCTGGATTATCTATAAATAAAATTGAATATTTCGATGTTTTGTTTTTGATTAATATTATTTTGTCATACCTTGCCATGTAGCTAGATGAAGTATTGTATATCGATATTCATTTTGAGGTACAATAAATTTACACATCATTTTCATTTGTTCAGTTGTTAAATTGTTAATAAGTACTTTGATTGCATCTATATCTTGCTGTTCAATAGCTTCAATCATTAATTGTTCTTTACTTGTGAAAGAACCCATTGTTCACAATACTTCGAATAAAAGTCTGATCGTAGACAACAAAACAAAATGAAAAAAAAATGATATACACAGTAAAGACCGTGAAATATAAAAAGATAAATATCATGCACATACTTTTCGTTCGGTCACATATTCTCATACATGAATGTAAAGCAATGATGCGCATCATGACCTTGTCTCTCTTCGTTTATTAATACAAAAAAAAGGAAGAAAAATTATGAATGATAAATGAACTGACGGACAAATGTTGAGAGTAGGTATATTTTTAAGTTTTCTTCTCGATAGTAATAGCTAGCAAGAATCTAAAAAAAGATTCATGTAGCTGAAAGAGTTCTCTATCAGGATTGATAAGTTCGAAGACTTCAATAAAACTGTTTAGATGAAGGTCTGTGAAAAACCAAATCCTTCCTACCAACCAGATTTCTACGTAGTTTTTATTCGAAAGTTTTGAGAAAAGGCTTTATTTGATTAAAAAAAAGACGATCCTGAGCACAATAAAGTGTTTCCGATCTCTTCATGGCTTTCTTTCATCAAACTGCATTCAATTTACAGAAGGCTCTAAAGCGTCAAACATGACAAAAACATAGAAATTTTCAATACAAGGAAGCGAAACATAATTCTTGAGTCTTTTGTATATCGAAGAAGCCATAGAAAGATCGAAAACATGTTATTATGTTCAGAGTCATTTGTTCTATGAAATTAAACTTCTCTCAAATGTTTGGAATAGAAAGCATAAAAGTCGATTTTGAGCGTCTTGATTGTCTGCGAACCATTATCCAAGTAGTATTATTTGAGTCTTTGGATTTACAAATTCTAATAGAAAATCCGTTCAGCTACACAAATGTCTTTTTTTTCAGATTTTCGCTACCTATTATTGTCGAGAAAAAAACTTAAAATACAACTGCTCTAAACTTATATTCGTAGTATATATATGTATATATAGATTTCAATGAATTCAAATAAACTAAATATTAAAATGGCACCTTTTCCCATAGCATCTGATTGTAATATCACATGTATGAAAAGCATATATATAGTTAAAAAGTCATAGTTAAACCAGTAACGTTGGTCGAAACTCAATTCAATTAGCCCTAGACTGATAGAATAAAGATATGTAAATGGAGACATTTAGATCAGAGCTGGATACAGAACAACTTTTTCTTTCCTGTCTAGCAAGAGATTACTAAAGTATATATATATTAATCATTTTTAAATACAACTACTCAAGTTTCCAATAATGACTAATATTATAAATACAAGAAAATATAGAAACATCTCGATTTATTATTTTAATGACACGTTCATTACAGGAAACAAATTATAAAAGAAAATATGAACTTGTGGAGTTTTATCATCATTATTTTAACATATAGTAGATACTATTGATAAAAAATATAGGACAATGAAAAAGTACTTGATAACTAAAACAATACAAAACACAGGTGGGTACAGGACAACGTTTTCTGCCATATCCTGTCCTGTTACCAGCTCTGATTTAGATTATAAACATGAGTTAAGTAAAGCACTTCACACATAGAAACAATTCGTTCTACGAAATATGTTTTTCCGTAATATAAAACTTGATTTTGATATTTATAAAAATCGATTTTGAATATGGTACATTTGTTTAATCAAGTTCAATTTATATGTGCAATGTTATTGGTTGAGATTTGATACAATTTCTTTTGATCGTAGCACTGTTGTAACTATATTCTTGAAATTGAAAAAGTTCCGATTTTTGATTATTCATATTTTGTTGTATGCTTTCTTCATGTTTGAAATAAAATGTATGCTTTACTTATATACACATATTTATTTATAAAGATAACATAGAAATCAATACAATTAGTGGCAATTGATTATATTAGTGCTATTTCTGTTGCAAACAAAAAAAAATATGAAATTATTCAAATAATTTGACTTTAGTTAATCATCATCATATGTTAAGACTCATTCCCTAACTCTTATTAATTATGAAATAGTATCCTCTTGTATACACCATTGAACAATCGATCGAATCATTCAATAATTAAATAATTAAATAACAATGATTGCCACTTCTCAACGCATCCTAGAACAAGCAAGGACGTTCATAAACGACAGTAACTCATTGCATTTTGGCACATTACATGACTTAGTATTATCATCGGATCCAGGACAATGATTACGGTTGCTGAGACAACCAAAAACAATGCTGTAGATTGTCATTTCATACAGTTTGCACTCATAAATAGTTACAAATCAACGTTTGGTAAGCGCATTATTACGATCGTATTTTATCATGTCCTGCATAATTGATAACGATCTGACAATCGAGTATCCAACCTTGTACAATACAGTCATAATACTGCGCTTATCAAGCAGCAAAAAATAAAAATGAAATAACTGTTTACGACCACGCGTATTTGTTCTGGATTTGTCTATGAGACAATAAAATGAGATGGTTGACGGAGTTTGTATACGACTTACGTTTAACTCAGTGCCCTCATGTAAACGATCGTATAGGGGTTTTGTATTCTTCGTCCTTGAATACTACTTCTCGGTTAATTTGAATCCTAATGCATATGTGTTATTTTTTATTGTCCTTCACAGTCATTTGTAGCTTAGTTACTAAATGGTAGCTATTTCATAGATAGATAGATAGATATAAGTGAATTTCCGTTTTCTACACTCTATTCTTACAGTTGAGGGAATAATTAATTTTATAATACACATTCAAAGACTTTGATAAAATGTTAATGTAAGACTGATTCAATTACATATTTTAATTATGAATCAAGCTTACAGGTAATCGTAAACATTAAACACATAAGATTCGTTATTAATTATAAAGCATTTGTCAGATATTTCGAAAATTATTGTTATATTACTTTTATTCGACGTATCTCTTGAAATCTAAAGTTTTTTGTGTGATAACATATTTTTATCGAATTAGTTAATAATTCTGATTTTATTGCAAACTGTGTTACAAATCACGCAATTCACTCATATTTCAGAAAAAAAATTGATTAGTAGAAAATTAAGTTTATAAGCAAAGAAAAAATGACGTCATTTGTTGTCGGAACGATTGTTATCGTCATTCTTTCCACCTTGATACGATGAAATAGCTGAAATAATATTCGATGAAATATCAATACGATCCTAAAAAACAAACAAATAGATATTAGGACAATGCCTACGCAAGTAAAAAATAAAACACGATGAAGCTACTGATGTTGTAAAACAGTAAACTTAACAACATGTTTTAGTTTGTGAATTGCTACCAACTGTGCAACATTTTTACTTTAATCACCATGCCATCATCCTCACGCAGTGCTATATGAAGATGCGATTAAAATAAAAATGTCTTTCAATGATGAAATATGTTAATTGTAGTATATTACAGTCAGTATGAAAAAATAACAGCAAAAACATAACTATCTTAAATTCAGAGTGATCATGCCAAATATTTCAATCTCTCGGATATGTTTGTCATAATTCGTAACGAGAGAACAGCAATAATAAGATATCTTTCAAGGTGAAGAGACGTTACTAAGACATCCGTCAAGGTCTGTAATGAAGAAGAAAGACAGGATGTTCGATTTTCTACCGTCATATGTCAACATTACTTTTCGATTGTGTTTAACAGAAAAGGAAACTAATGAATTGTATTAATAAAATATATTACTTTAATAAGTGCAAGAACTTCATTCTTTTTTCTTGAAGCATGAGTTTCAGTTGATTCCATATTTAGATCATTTGTAATTGATTGAAAAGTTTTTAAATCGTTTTGACAACGTTCAGTACGTGCTTGTAAATCATGAAGAAAATGTTCACATTGATTTCGTAGTTGTTGACTCTAAAATTTTTTTGTGTTTTGGAAACATAAAACCAAATCAAATTAGAATTTCTTTCCTACTTGTTTTATTTTTTCAAAATCACGACAAACAAGTTCAAGAACATCATCAATAAGTTTAACATCTTTTTCAATACCTAATAAACGTTGAAAATGCCTATCTTCTTGATCTGGTAACTAAAAAAGAAAAGAAAAGAAACATGAATTATTATTCAATAATTTTCCAACAAACTTTTTCTCCAATTAACATAATACGATTTCCATTAAATAGACCAAATTTTTCTAATTCTTTATCTGGATTTTGATGCAAACGTTGACCTTGATTAAAAAAAAGAACAAATACATTTTTGTTCTTTTTATTTTCAATAAAAAAAAATTTTTACCACGAAATATAAGTTGTTGATTTACAGTTGTTACTCGAGCTTTTTTTTCAACTTCTTCCATAAGATCTTTAACCAAAGGTGGTCGTTCCAAATGAAGATGTATATCATATCGATCAGCACCTGCAATAGAGAAATTAATTTTATTTCGATCAATTTTATTTTTTGTTTAAATTTAATTTTACCATGTGAAACTTCGACATGTAAAATATGAAAACGACTTTTAATCTCTGTATTAGACATTTTCTTATGATCAATGTTTAAGTAATAAATCCTATAATTCTTTTATTGATTTTCTCAAGAGTTTCTATGGAGACTAACAGGATTCTTTTTCTTTATTTGTAGATGACGCTATGGAACAGTAATTTTAAAAAAGGCTTATGGTACTCTTGAAATTGAGAACATTTAAGTGAAAAAGAATTTTTTTTTATTGAAATTTAACAAACAAAAAGCGATTGATATGAACATTTAAGAACTTTATCTTATAAGCTTTATTCATTTCAGTTAGTTTAATGCTGAGATTTCTTTCAATTTGTTTTGTTTTTTAACTGTTGATCTTTATATTTTTTTTTCTTTGTTTTCTTTGTTTTTCAATCTTAAAAGATTTAAACAATTTCTAAATTGCTTCTTCCCCTTCAGCTACATTTCATGGTTGCCTTTATATGTTGCATTCATAAGCAACATATTTTCAGACAATACATATGGCGCAGGTAAGACGTCCACGCCGTTACCGATCTCCACCACCACAAAAAATTCCTTCATTATCACGTCCTATTCGTATTCAACTGCCGACAAGAAACAATAAGAGGCCAACTACTCAGACAACGGGTCCATTCGTTGAAAATAATGTTTCACATAACCAACAACATAATCCCAGCAATGGTCTTATGACAAGTAGTAACAATTTCGATCAATCATTTCTTAGTATAAATTCATCATCAAATCAAATTCAAACTCATGACAAACAACCATTATCATCTGAAAATAATCCTCCTATGCAAAATAATAATAATACTGTAGTATATATAATAAATAAGTAAAAAAATATAATTGTGTTTTGTTTTACTTTAGTCAGAAGAATCCATGATTCTTCTAACAATGAATGATAATATTGATGGATTTCTTGATAAAAAACATTTGCCTGCTTTTGCAAGGTTTCCATTACATGTTCCAGTAAGTTTTTCAAGAAAAAGAAAACGAATCAAATCTTTGTTTTTTTTTCTCTTCTATTTTTAATAAAATAAAAATAAAAAAAAGATCATATTTTGATGGTGACAAGAACTTCATTCATTGTCTATGACGACAACATACAACTTCAACAAAAGAAACAACACGTTCTTTGACGAGCTTTTGTTATGCAAAAAAAAACATAGAAGAAAAAAAATTGATTTTTTTTGTATCCATTACAAGTTTAACATTATTATTTGCATCTGTGTAATTATTCTTTTTTTTATAGTTACTACCACAACGAATGGAGACTAATGTTGAAGATAATATTCATAAGCTTCGTCTTCGTCTAATTGATTCTGTAAGGAATAAATATATAAATATCTTTTTAAAAATAATTGTTATTTTTAGGAACTTAATCATCAACGCCGTAGTACGGATGATTACATAAATCGAACACGTATGTTTCTTTTCTTTGATATATTTCTTGACAAAAATAAACTGTACATCTAGTTTTCCTCATTTAAAGAGTCATTCATAATAAATGATCCAATATTTTTTTTGGTTCCTATTACTTCGAAAATTTTATTCAAAAACAATATCTATCACAGGATACAGCATAAAAAGCTTAGCAACATATCAATAAAAATCTGTTTGTTTTATGTATGCACTTGCCTGCTCTCAAAACGAACAAAATTTTGTTTGATGTAACAAACAAGATCTTTTTTCAATATACAACGAATTCTTTTTCTGATTGCTTCTCTTTTAAAACGTTCGAACAGAATGGATCCCATCTCTGTTATAGATTATTGATGATAGGATTCCACACGTTATAATCCGAAACCTTGAGATCAAAATAGTGATGTGTCTATGAGGGAAGGAGAAGAGAGCATTCCCACTTTTAGAAAATTATCAGTTTTTCCAGCGAAAATCGTATTTTTTATTAAAAACAAAAATCTCAAAACGAAAAAAGTTCAGTACTCTTCCCCTAGCTTTGAAAAGATGTTAGTACAATCCCTGCGGGATTAAAATGTGAAACATGATGTAGCTGCTGCTGCTAGTCATACGGAGTTTGTTTTGTTTTATGTATCAGCCACTATTGATATACGGTCAGCGATCGTATATCAATAAGTCTGTGGGAGGTAGAAGGATTCTATTTTCTACCCTATATACTTCAACATTCCTCTTAAATTGTGTTTAACAAAAATTGCATATATACACCTCTTCAGCTCTCAAGAGTTTTTTGTTGCACATCTCTAGACTCGCACTATTTAGTGTCTATTTTCTGTCATTGCTTATAAAATGCATGAGATTTTCTTCACATCAGATCAATTATTCCTGATATGTATGTTGTTGTTTTATTGACAGATGAAATTGTCACCTAGAAGCCGTTTGACTTCATATTGCGTATGTTGGAGAAGAATTTCAATATAAATTTTATGTGTTAATGTTTCATAAGGTTTAAATGTAAATTGAAGATATAAGATCATTTTAACATGCATCTAACTATACCATAATTCTTTTTGAATACTTAGCATTTTGGTTTATGCTATTTTATTCTTCTTTTGCATTATAAACATGTTCTAATGAAAAGTATTTTTCGTCAATGAATATATTTATCTTCAATCGATCAGATGAAAAATATCATCATATTCGCAGTGTCGAAAATTGCTTGCACAAAATTTTGTCTATTATAAAAGCAAATGAGTGCATATATATCTAGAAAAACAGAATTTTTATTGAATATATCGTAGAACTTTTCATATTGCATCTTGTGTTATATTTTATTTTTGAATAAAACGTACCAAATGATAAAAAGAAAAAATGTATTTTTTGCGAGTCACTCGGAAGTTGTTTATATAATACAAGAAACATCTCATATGTAGACCTTAATTGCATAGTATGTGTATATCCAATTATAAACTACGACTGTTTATTGAAAATGGAAAAAGAAACTAGCCCATGCATACTTTGTTTTATGATTGTTTCGAATAGTGAACATGTTTTATGTATAGAAAGATTGAGTATGTTGTTTCTTATTCACATTGTTGCTAATACTTGTCAGAATATCTGATACAGTAGTTCTAGTTTGAGCTCCAACTTGAATTATAAAAACAATGAAATGTATCCAGAAAAAAAAAGAACACTAGATGTACCGTTTATTTTATTTAGTAAATACAACTTTGGACAAAAGTCTTTCTGCTCTTGGGTTCCAGTCTCCAGAATAAGGATAGAGGTCTAAAAATTTATATGTTCATAATCCATCATAAATGTAGATCAATGGTACTACCCACTGCACCCCACTGGCTTGATCAGACACTGACCTATGATGAATGTTGTGTATTTTTGCTTTGAACTTCTTAATTCAGAAGGGGAGCATGTTGTGGGACGGCAGACCTGTCATTATGTAGCGCCATGTTTCCCAATTATTTTTCATATAAATTTCTAGGAGATTCATCAGTCACTTCAAGAATTGTGGCCATTTTCTTCTAACCATCGATTGCCCTTTCAATATCCATGACTCAATGATAATTCAATAAATTGACTTGAAACTTTCAGAAAAGTTTTCTCCATATATTGACATTGTTTTCTGAAAGTTTTAACATCAAATATTATAATAGAAAGATACAACACACGAGTAATCATCTCTGTAAGTGTCGAGGACCTAGAGATACTAATACTCAAGCAAATGAATTGATCGTTTCAATGAAAAAAGACCATAAATTGAGCTTAATTTTCATGTGAAAATATTCAAAATTGATCACGTATTTGATAAGAAACAAGATAAACTTTAATAAGCAATTTTTTAAAATTATAAAACTGACACCAAAAACAGATTCGATCCATCATAACTCTGTTCTCACTCAAGCAAGCGATATTCGAATAGTGTCTATGACTTATATGTCTAATGAATAGAGTTTATCAAGTCCAAAACTTTCGGGCGCGTTTAACAACCAAATGTCAAACCTAAACCCATCGGGTTCTGCTGATGGAATATATGTACACAAATTTTCAAACCTCTAACGATTATAATGACTGAAATCCGAGAGGCCAAAGACTTTTGTTCAGGTCTGTAAATAAATAAATATATTTATTTCCAAAAGAAACAAAAAAAAACGTTTGTTCTATAAAAAAAACCTTTTTTCAGAAAAAACATTTTCTCTTTCATCTCCGACATCAACGGACTATTATGTAAATAATGTACGACCACCATCTATATTAGTTCATCAACAAGTTTTACCCAAAATTTTGAGTAGACAAACATCCTTATCAATATTATCTGTTGCAACTTCATCATCGTCGAGTCGTTTATCTCGAGGTAGTCAGATTTGAATCACATTATCTGCACAATATTCTTTCTATCACATTTTAAAAATAATCACTTCTATACACAGTTTTTATTTCATCTCACGTACATATTTTATTATTTGATTTATTTCTCTTTTTTAAAAATATTTCTGTAATTATTTAGATCGAATAGGTATTGAAAATGATGTTCAAAATAATTCTAATATTGAACGAGACTTAGAAATACTTCGAATAGAAGTAAGATGTAGAATAACTTTAAAAAATTTGTTTTTTTATATTGTTTTATTTATTTGAAAAAGAACTCATTAAATAAGCCCCATCGATCAAATCAACCATTGACGATATCCAATTATTCTTACGATCCTCGTTTACATTTACAAACTCTACAAGGTTTGTAATGAATATATTAAGTATTAGAAATAAAATTCTTATTTTTTGTTTATAATAGAAAAACAATTGTATTCATCATCTAATATGGATGATTTAATTGATTCAATGGCAAGACGTCATTTAGCTTATCGTCGACTTGATGTTTGTATTTAAAATGTTGAGTATTATAAATGAAAAATTTCATTTGCAGGCAGCTATTGACCGACAACGACGTACTAATGGATACCATGGTCCATATATTGGTATAATGAAATTAGTTAGAGTTTTTTTTTCTTTATCTCTATAATAGAACCATTGAATACTACTGGTCGAACATCACATCGAAGTCCACAACGAAATGACCATTTATTACATACCAATAGAACAGTTACAAATCAAAATGAACATGGTCTGTTTCATAGATAATATATCAAATTATTGTTCATATTTTTCTTTTTTTATTTATGAATTAAAGATATTAGTCGAATAAATCCAAATACTTTTAGTCAAAGACTTCGATCACGAATCGATTATTATAATAGAATTCAACCTGATCCGGATAGTGTATGTATGCAATCTTTTCCTTTGTTTCTTTTTTAAAATTTTTTCTTATATTCAGTTAGTTATTGATGATCCAATTCATACAAGTTCCTATACAAAATTACCACCGATTTCACCAGGATATGATTCAAATCATTTTAATCATTTAACGTAGTTATTCGAATTTTAAATTCATAGATTATTTTTTTGTTGTTGTTTTTCTAAAGAACTCCATTAACACCAAGTTTTTATGGAACTAAACATGATTCTCATATTCATCAGCATCATCAACGAACAATCCCATTAGGTTTATCCGATCAATCGGAACATTTAATTGAATTACCAAGTGATATTTTTCTTACATCAAGAACAGGTGATTTCTATATAAAGAAGAACGCACAAATTTGAAACTTCAGACAACTCAGTACCGTTTAGTACTAACAATTAACTGTAGTATTCATAGTGTTTGGGAAAAGAAGATAGAAAATCGAGAGGATATTTAGAAATGGGAGTCAGCCTGTTCTAACTGACGAGCATCTGTGCCTTTCGGCTATCGTGTAGTATGGATTGCTGCTTAGTAACAGATTCAATACTTTGATATCTTCTGTATAACTGATACTCATTGTATGTAGCTCTGCACAAAGAGCTTGTACTCAATCGCTTGAGCTCCCAAAACACACTAACTAATTACAAGAGTAGGTGTATGTCACAGCGTAGTTATCATGCTATTGGACGGCTGATTCGAAACAAACAGTCGTTCATACCTGGTCTAGAATCTTTTCATGGCTAGTGATATCTTGTAGATACGTATCGAATAAGGGTGTGACATTTCATTTTTTTTTGTTTTAAGCACTGCAGATATTATTGGGAGACTTTGTTTTTATACCATTCTATAAAGAATGTTTTGCTCTACACCACCTTCGACGATCAAAGAATAATAAAGATGATTGAATTTCTCAAGTAGCAGTTCTACTGGTACTTCAAATAAACTATAAGATTCTATCAAATTCTGCATGTTGTCATGTAGTTTTTAGAATTTTAGAAGACATAGTTGAGTGAAAAATCTTTGAAGTAAAAATTTCTAAAACATTTCAAAAGGTTTTCGTCTGCTAAACTTATACCACTGTTCTATTTTAATTCAGAAGAAAGTTAAAAATTTTCATTGTCTAGTTGATTGATCGAATTGATGTTAATTTTTTCTGGGTTTAGCCGACAAAAAATACTTTATTAAAAAAATATCATAAACAATTTTGTACAGCAAAAACTTTGCTATCGGATGGTATAAAAATAAAGTCTCTCAACGATGTCGCGATGATCAGAGAACAAAAAAAGAACAATAAATAAAAGTGTCACCCTCTTTATGGGTTTCTCATTACTTAGATTTTTTTCAATTAAAACAGCTATTTTAAGAAAATAATGATTTTTGAAAACAAATTCTCTAGAGGTTTTCAGATTTGAGTAATCCAAATCTCTAATTGTTTTTTCGATCATTGAAGGTTTAGTGCAAGAAAATAGATAGGTTTCTATCAAATTCGATCAAAAGTTTTCGAAGTCATAGAATTCAAGTCTACAGGGGATTTCTCGAAATTGCCAAGTTAACTTCACTTTTATGGTAACTTGCAAAGCACTTTTGAATATAGATTCAAAATTTGTCTAGGACTTCGGTTGTCAGAATTTTGAGTCAATCTTTTAGAGAGACGAAAATCAAGGTTCGATGACGAAAATTTACAGTTTGTTTTTAGTCTCCTTTAGTGCGTACGTCATGCTACTGACGTCTTTTGCATTGAATTAAAGCCGAGACTATTCTGTACAAAGTAGTATAAAAATCAAAAGTGCTAGAACCATCACTCAAGAATGACCACGCTCACTTTTCAAGTCTGTTTTCTATGGAAATCGCTGAAATTATCACGGTATATCTTATCAAAATACTCACTGTTGACAAATGGTTTGCAACAAACCAATCATCCGTATACCATTATACAAAGGTGCCCCCACCTTCCAAATCTTGAGTCATAAGCATCTCCAATCAATCTTAGCAATCGCGAAACATTCTTACCATTGTATAAAGAAATGTTTCTTCGTTCATCTACTGTACTCGGAATAAACCCGCAGCGACTAAATTTCATGAGTACTGAACTACTGGAACTTTCGAAATTCAGATATGTCTCTATATTATTTTTAATTTATTTTGTAATTTAATTATAGACGCACTGAATTCTTCATCACAACATAATCTACAAACTCATAAAATTCAATCAAGATCAATTTCAAAAGATAGTATGTATAAAAGTTTTTAAATTTTTGTTTTAATTTAAAATTGATATATAATGAATATGTTCAATAATAGATCGATCGAATGTTGAAAATGAAATGCCTTCAGCTAGTCGTCAACGTAGTCGTTACAGAAAGAATTCACAAAATGGTAGAAGAAATATTCTTGTTTTCTTCTATAAATTAATAATAAAATTTTTCTTTTGTAATCATAGATCATCATGATTTTTTAGTGGAATCAATTATTCACGAAAAAAAGAAACCAAAATATCATAGAAATTTATTTAAAAAAACTGCTATTGGAATTTTATTCACAATAAATCTTAAAAATCGAGCTATCAAAAAACGTTCAGTAAGTTTAACAAAAACAAAAACTAATATTTATTTATTGATAAAAAGGAATTAAAGCATCGTCTACATCAATCACCAAGTGCTTTAATACATAAAATTCGTCTTCAAGAAATCATTGTTGCTTTACATCGAGTTTATCTTGAACCTGATAGTACAATACATAATGCACTTATTCATGCAATAAATAATTCAATTTCATTACAAAATGGATTAAATAGATCATCGAAAAATTGTTCAGAAGCAATTCAAATTATTCGAAATACTTTACAAATTGTTATTTCAAAAATAACAGAGTTGATGGTAAAAAATTTTAATAATAAACATTAGAAACGAGAAACTAGACAGAAGTTAAATCAATCACAGTTAACAGATAACGGATACATCAGCAGACACTGTATTAAATCTCAATACATTTTTCTTTCGTTTTTTTATTAATCTTGAAAAAAACTATTCTCTTATTCTTAAGGATGAATAATTTCAAGTTCTATGAAATTGGCGATTTTGTTTTTCCTATGAATTTATCAAAATGAAACACACAAGCATGTACTTCATCATCTAACTGCAATGGTCAGAAAAATGAAAAATGGGTGAACAATTTCTAATGAAGATCCTACTAAAAATTTATCTATCTCACAAAATTCTACATCTTTATATGCATATTTCAGAAGAAACATTTGAAAGAAACTGGGTTCGAAGTAAAAAGAAAAATATAAAATCATCAGAAAAAAGCTTTCTCGTAAATACTAGTCCCGTTATGACATATAGCGTAAAATTCTCTATCTATTGCTATTAATTTACTTTTGCTATCGGCTTTGACGAGCATAGGCTTTATAAAAATCAATAAGCGTCAGCAGAGAATAGGAAATCGAAGTTGATTGACTAAGTTGAAGTCAATATATTAAAATTATTGCCGACAAGGTCAAACTTTTTTGGAAAACAAAGTCAACAGTTTCGTACAGCTTGAAATGCTATATCTTTTAGAATATAAAGAAAGTTTTATTTAGATTTTCTGTTCTGCACGGGCGAACGCTTATTTTTGGAAACACAGACATAGAATCTATGGTATAATAACCTCAAACTCGAAAAGAGCCAACCCAATTCTCCAAAGAAATCTGCCCCTTAAGTCTCCATATTCGATAAAATATTGATGAGACTAATATTTTTCGGTCATGATCACAAAAAATTCTATTGATGAAAGTAATGAGAATACTATCATATGTGTAAAAAAAACCTGATGAAGTTATAGGAATGCATGGTAGAAATGATCGCCATTTACTTCTGATTTTTGTAGACAGAAATAAGATTATGCTATTTTGTGAAACATGATCGGAAAGGAATGTTGAAATACGGCAGTAAAAATTTAGACCCACTCATTAGGCTGTGACAGACATTGTTGATATACGATCTAAGTCTGATTATCAATAACGTTTCGTTATAAAATATTAACAGTTTCCTTATTACATTTCTGAAGTATTAAGTAAATGGATGGCGAACAAATATGTCTCAAATAAATAGAATAAAACAATCTCTTTGTGTATAGCAACAATATCTACATCGTTTTTTATATTTCAATCCCATCGAGATTGCGCTAACAGCTTTCTGATCGACTTCAAAAAAGTGTTTTCCGACCATGAATACATTTCGTAACAAAAAGAGCTTACATCCATCATTCAAAGAATAGTATTGAAAATCGCCGGTGAAAAATCTGATTGTATATGAAAATGAAAAATTCATCTTGTGTCAAACAATCATTCTAAAATAATGATCGTTTTGTTATATTTTGAAAAAGAAAAATAGAAGAACATTATGTCTAAAGATCCAATCAAATTCTGAATCATTTGTATTTCGAGTGTCAGACAATATTATATTATTTGTAATTCAGACAACTCATTTATTTTATATAGAATATTTTCTAATACTGGTCCTTTGAATAACACATCGAATTATGCTGTCAAGTTCTGTTTTATTTGACCAAAAAGAAAAGAAGAACAAGTCGAATCAAATTTTTGTTGTGAATTGATTGATAAAATTATAAATACATTAGTCTTAATGATAAATCATTTCAAGTTATGAAGTAATCAGCTCATCACTATAGATCCGAATAGGCTATCGTATTTTCTTGCCTAGAAAGCATAAAAGCTCTAGTTTTTGATTCTATCATTTTTTTCCTAAATTTTTGATAAAAAGATTTCATTCTTTCATGAGGAGATCTGAGTATCAAAATTGATAGTGTTGAGTTATTGTCATCTTGACCCAACATAATCACCCCTAGTAATAGTTCGTGACTACACTGTTCATGTTTATATATTTTATTTCGGTAAATTACTGTTCGTAGTCTCTAGTTGATTATTTTCATTACTATTATTCAATAGAAAATTGTTTATTGTTTTCTGCTTCGTATTTATATTTTTGTAATAAGACAAAACTTGATATGTCCTTTTCAACTAGGTCATTAAATGTATTGAAAATATTCTAACTGGATAAACAAAATGTTTTTATTCCTAATGATTAATGTCTTCTTTTTTATCTGTCATCAACAATATAATTTACAGTATTAAAACCATAGATAATTTGTATAGAGATACTATTTTGATATGTATGTTATCATTGTTCTGTTGTCAACACAGTCTTCTACTACCATTTAATTATCATCATAATATCAATATATAGAAAAAATATACATTCTGAGATAAACATAATCAAGTTCAAGAAGTTTATAGATGGGTCAGGCTTATAAAAATTGAACCTATTTTGGATATCTGATTGTTATTATGAGTTATATATTGATCTCTAAATTTGATTGAATATTGATAATATTATTCATGTGAATAAATGTACATAAGAATTTTCTTGATGAAGAAATAGAAAAAAGAATGAATTGAAATTTTAATATTGTTTTAGCCTAAAGATGGTGTTCTTGGTACAGAAAAAAATTCAGCTGTATCAGCTCTTATTCAAAATGGAAATCCATTCCCAGAAAATTATTTTTGGCAGTGTGAACGAGTATGTTTTGTTTGTTGGTTTTAATTGAGAGTTTTTTTATTTTCGTTAAAATTTTCTTTATTAAAGGAACTTCTTGAATTTGATCATTTAAAAGTTATAAATATAACTAACCAACAAGCAAAACTTTTACTTATTGGTATTTTTATATTTCGAGCACTTATTACAACAGTAAATTAAATTCAAAACATGAAAACAAAAAAGAATTATTTATCTCATTTGTTTTTCTTTTTTCTTAAGTTACTATTGAAACCAGTTAAATATAGATTAATTCTTGGTCATTTAACATCACATCAATCAGCTAATCTTAAGGTATTAGCATCTGTTATGCTTTATATTGGTAGACGAGCAGTAGGATCGAAGTCCCATATACTTGTATGTAATATAAAAAACCAACGAAAATAAATAAAATATTAATTATTTCTCTTTAATAGCCTTTACCACATGAATGGCATCTTTCATTATATACTGATTTAGATATTGAAGCAATTATTCAACATTCTGAAATAAATTCGACTATTAATACATGTGAAGTAAGTTATTTCCTATAGATATTAATGATATATTTTACTTTTTATTTAATTTAAGCAATCATTACGTATGTGGTGTGAAGAATACATTCGTCGTATTGATGCAAATTTTGGCAAAGAATTACGAATATAAATATATGATCATTGACTTATTCTCTATTGTCAAAAGCTACTTTTTTTTGCTTCATTCACAATTTATTTGATTGTTTCTTCTTTTTTCTTTGCTATATATTTATAAATGAATTCCCGGACAGGTTCTACTGTCGAGGTCACGTTTCTCTTTTTATTTCTCCTATGAAATTCATTAGGGAAATCGTTTTTTCATCCCTTTTTTTTCTCTTATTCATCTTCTTCTATTAGTATTCCTTCGTCGTTGTCTGATTGTTCCATACATGCGATAGACAAAATTGAATTAGGTGTCCGCTCTCTAGCGGTTACTCGAACGATCGAACGAGTTTCTTGTATATATATATATATATATCTACATATATATATATTCAGTTTGTTTCTCATCATAATTCTTTTTTCTTTCGTTTATTTCTCATGACTGCTCTCAGAACAAACGTGGTATGAAATGAAAACAAGTGTTTTGAGAACAAGACCAAGGAAAAAGAAGAATTAATCACAATTGGCAACAATATAAAAAGGAACTCGATAGAGAGACAAGAGAAAAAAAAGAAGCTGTATAGGACGGCATTCACATGTTTATGTCTCTTCAAACGTTGATAAGAGGGACAGTTTTGACTAGTAACATCACCAATAAATAAATAACAAAAGAAATTTTTAAGAAACAACTTCAGTAAGAACTGTACGTGATGATTGTATACGAAAAGATGAACGTCGTCCATTTTGATGATCATCATTTTGATTATCTATTGTACTTGTGCTATTATTTATTGGAGACGTATTGTCACTTCTAATTTTCATTTCCATTTCTTCTATAAAAGAAAAACAAAATGTCAAAGATCTTTAACAATGATATTCATAGATATGTAAATAATATTCATCAAGATAAAGACACAAACAAATCATTACAACAAATATGTATCAAAATTAAAATAATTTGCTAAATAATTTTAGCATGCAACAAGAAAATAAGATTATTTAGGAATGAAGAAAAATAAAATAATTAAAAAAAAGAAATAAAGAAGAGAGCAAAACTAGGAGAGGATATACTACAACTTACAAGTTCTCATTTCAATCATTACAGTGGATGGTTTTCTAAAGAGATGCATTGGTTTATAGAAAAGAAAAATCACACATGAAATTTTTTCCCTTATGCATCTCTCTCATTCAATTATTAGAATCAAAAATATATGTAAAAATAAATAAATAAATAAATCGTGCATGTATAGAAAATAAAAAAAAATAAAAATAAAAACAACATAAGTGCTTAATAAATTATTCGAACGAAACGTAATTGAAAACGAGCAACAAATGCAATCTAGTTTTGTACCTACATATATTTAAGTGATTCAATATCACAGAAATTATTTTATTTTTATTTTTATTTTTATTTAAACTTTGGCCACATGATGATGGTGATGACTACTCATCCTCGGACTCGATTGAATCATTGGTATACGTTCTTCATCACCATGTCCTATGTGAATGAATGAAACATTAACTAGATTGAAAAATAAAACTGATTATACTTGAATTTCTAGTAAGTGCAAAAAGAAAAGATTGATTTTTTTATTCCTAAAGAATAACATCATTACAGCACAGAAAAGAAGAAGTAAACATTGACAGATGTCTATAATTCATTTTTGTGTAAAGGAAAGACAAAGATATATATATATATTTATATGTAGAATATACTATGTGTGCTGGATCGAAGAAGAGAAAATGAAAGCATTGATATACCTTCGAGGAATGTTTGGAAATTATTGGCAACTAAATAGAAGAGATTAGTAACTGGAACTCAATATCCGAAGTATGTCTTATATCAAAATCTATATATATTAAGCATGCAACCATCTTACCAATACGGTTGTGTACAATATTATTTTCAGTTGCACCAAGTTTAGCAGCCAAACCACTACTACTCTGTTTAATAACATTCTTTTTAAGACCACCAACACCACCACCAGCAGCACCAGGTGGTGGTGCACCTGGTCCAGTTCTCAGTCCGGCATCTATACCAAATTTATTCAATGCTCCTCCTCCACCAGGACCAGCACCACCACCAGCTCCTGGTCCTCTTGCCGGTCTAACTGGTTCAACAGCCATTACTCTTCGTCGTTTTTTCGGTAATTTTGAGCGTGCTTGTGTATGTGAATAATACATAGCAAAATTAGCAACAATAACAGGTACAGGCAAAGCAATAGTTAATACACCTGTTAATGCACATAAACCACCAACCATCATGCCAACATAAGTTTTTGGTACCATATCACCATAACCAACAGTTGTCATTGTTACAATAGACCACCAAAGACCAATTGGTATTGATGTAAAATCATTATCAGGATTTTTTTGTAAACGTTCAGCATAATAAATTAACGAAGCAAATATGACAATAAATAGAACAAGAAAAAATATAAGTAACATTAATTCACGCATGGATGCTGTAAATGTATGTATAAGAATTTTTAAACCACCATAATGACGTGTTAATTTAAATAAACGAAATATACGTGTTATAGAAAAAAATTCAAATAAATCTGTATTTGTTAATGATGCTGGTAATACTTTATTAAATAACATATCTAAATAAAATGATAATGTTGCTAAAAAATCGATTATATTTACAGGTGATCTAACAAAACCAAATTTTTTTGGTGAAACTATAAAACGTATTATAATTTCAAATGTAAACCATACTAAAAAACAAAACAAAATTAAAATCATAAAATAATTTTTCTGAGTTAGATGTTATTTTCTTTTCTTTTGCGATTACCATTGCACGCTATTTCAATATATTGAAATGCTTCATGTGCTTCGGTTTTTTCTTTATATAATGTATATGTTGGTGTTATATTTGTAAAATTATTTTCAATTAATGTTATTGTTGGTACACGCATTGTTGGATGAGTTTTTAAACAAAATGATATAATTGAAACAAGTATAAAAAATATTGAAACAACTTGTATAGCCTAAGATAATAGTCATCAAATAAAAGCAATAAATGGAAAACAAGCGAAAAATTGTAAAATATACTTTAGCTGCACTACTTGAATATGGCTCTTCAAATAATTGCCATATACGTGGTTGTATACGTTTGAACCATGGTAATGTTTTTATATATTCTTGTACACTCATATTTTTATGACGTATTGTTGGATCATAATCCCAGCCAAATTTATGTGGAATTTCTTCTTCGGTTATTGGTTCAGCATCAAGATCTAAACGATCTAAACCAACAAGTACATCTTGTGTATCTCTAGAATTCAGAAACCGAACAAAAAAATTATATACTTATTAAATTATATATATATACCTGTGAGTTGTATATGTCATCCAACAACAAGGTTCAACTTGATTAGCATCAAGGCCCCAATATTCAAGCTCAGTTTCAAATAAAGGCCCACATACATCAGTTGGATAATGTAATTTACCAGTACGATAATAATTTAGTATTTGTGCAAATACACCTGGATGTCGATCAAAATAGAATTCATTAAGGACAGAATCATAATTTGATAGAGCTTCAGTAAGACGAGAAAGTCGTGTAGCTGGAATTTTTTTCAATGTTGCTTTGTCTACAGACAGAAAAAAATAAATAAATAATCAGTTGATAAGAGAAAAAAAGTTCTTTTTTTATACATACAAGTTTCATGGCGAATACCGCCAACGTTAAGAATAACCCGATTATCGGCATCGGCCATGCGATAAACGTCAACAACTATCAGGAAATTTCCACAATATGCTTGTACGAAAAGCACATCGATGATGATGCTTTGACCCGTCAGATTGACACGTAGCAAGCAAAATTTTATGTCTTCATACATATAGCTGACGTGTGACCTGACATGCAAAGCACCGATCAACAGCAACAGCACAATCTAAAATATTATATACATATATCTTAAATAATTTTTACAAAAATTTTTATAGTTAGTTAAAGATTATTTTCTTTTTTCAATATCTAAATAGATTATATGCATGAGAAATACAAATATTCTAAGATAATGACATTCATCTACATGTCTTTGGGAAGAAAACACAAGAAATTAGCAATTGATATAACTTTATTTATAGATAAGTCAACTAGAGTTGGACAAACAACAATTCTTTATGTCAAAAAATCATACAAAAGTAAAACTGATGATGATCGAGTAATATGACGACAAAGAAAAAGATAAGTGTATGCATTTTTATTAATAAAAATAACTGAGCATGAGGAAATAGCCTGGATTATTCGCACATATTTGCTATTCTATTTAATCGTTTGATGTAAATGCACTTGATCGATGAAGACAAGAAAATTGATGCGTTTTGCAAGGAAATTTATTTTTTTTTTCTCCGATCTCTTTAGTCGATCTAGATCACGTAATTTAACCAAATGTCAACATAAAGAATAAGAAATCGACTACTACTGTTCCCAACAGATAAAAAGAACATTTACAATCAGACAAGAAAGATCTTCATCTATAAATTTATGTGTTTTTTTTATATTAATTTTGCTCCAGTTCAACTATTGAAACGAATAATCATCAGAAAAAAACCTACTTAGAAGAAATAACTGACGATATTTGTACTTGTTATTTTTGTCGACTTTTTAACTTCTATATTTTCTATTGCCGGTGAGTTATTTTGAGATCTCTCCATCTACGTGTTGACAATCAAATCAAAAAACGATCTACCATTCGACGCCTTGCAGGCACGAACCAGATCATCAGTCTTTGTTGCATATATACACAAGTAAGACAGAGAAAGATGAAGTGTCAGAGATGACAAGTCTCTATCGACAATTTTTCTTTTATACATTGCTTACTTACGCTATGCATTGTCAAAATTATTCTCTCAAAATGTCCAACAAAAAAATATGAAAAAAAATTTGTTCCGTTGTTAAACAACATAAATATGCTTAATATTTTTATATTTACTAACAACTTACCTTGCAATATAATTATAATATTTGCTTTGGAACAGATACAGACACGCACCCACCCACACGCTCTCACTTGTGTCTATCTATGTTCAATCTAACCAAGTGGAATTGATAATGGCATACACACATACACACATACAGATATATATATATAGATAGATATATACCATATACGGATAGAAAAAAGAGAGAGAAAAAAAATAGAGAACCAGCAAAAGACAAGAACAACGAAAATAAAAGAGATCAAATCGTTGACGTATATGTTGAGACTGGAAAAGCTTGCTATAGTCTTTCTTGCTTGTGTAACCCCTACATACACATATATAATAACAAGAAGCAGAGAAAAAATTTATGCCACTAAGAGATGCGCGCTAAATGAAGAGACCCTAAAGAAAGAATATGAAAGAAAGCTGGAAAGAAAAATAAGGAAAAAGAAAAAAAAATTGTTTTCCGTGTAATCAGGTGGAAAAACATAGATTCTTTATCTTGTAATTGATGCATGACAATGAAAAACAGGAGAAGACAAAAGTAAGTGGAAAACGAGGAATAGAAACGGAAGGACACCATCAACTCTGGCGATAATTACCATTGTTAAACTGTCAGAATAATAAAAACATGTTAATATAAATAGTCAAAACCAAAAAAAACTGAGAAATATTTAAGAAGAAATGAAGCATGGATGGAAAGAACTCTGGTAAACATATATCACTACCAGAATCATTAGTTAATTTATAAAACATATCGATGAAAACTTATTATGTGTTTCAATTCAAGACAATATGTAGAAATGACAAACAACAGCTCGATTAATGTCAAATGATGATGCTCGTTGGCATCTCATCGTTGTTAACACATACTTTAATAGACATCGATGGACGGAAAAATTGCATATAGCAAGAGGAGAAAAAAAAACAAGAAACAGACATAATCGAGAAAAATTCTGTACAGATCTAATAATATTATAAAGAAAAACAAGAAAAGAAAGATATATTGAGACGACTGTTTCCGAGTAATGTTAACAGTCAAGCATATGCAATAGTCTGTCGTTGACATCATTAAATAAGAAAGACAAGGACATAAGAATGATTCAGCTTTATGTATTTGTATGCCATGCACGCATAGCGTGCCCAAATTACTCACTTGAACATTTGCTGTCGTCTAGTGATGATACAGTCTGCAAGATTTTTTTTCTACTTTCATTTTACTATCCTGTTCATCATCATAATTTTGGCATGACAACATTGTGTATGAAGTTTCCAACGATAATAATAAAGAAGAAGAAGAAGAAGAAAAAGAGTATTTCATTACGATTCTGATTGCTTTTCTCTCTCTCTCTCTCCCTCTCACAACTCAACATTCACTCTTTCTCTCTCTCAAACACATGTTTCTTAGTCCGAATCTAATGTAAATTGTAGAACTAGTAATGATTTTGATGGAAAAGCAACACAAGAGAATTCTTTTCACTTCTGTTTCTTCTCTTACTTGTTCTGTTATTTTCTCTTTTCCTTTTTTTTTCCTTCTTTTTCTATTCCCTTGCTCTAGTTATATAGACGGTCACAAATTGTAGCAAAAAATGGCGCATACTATAGTGGAATGTGTGCCGCGAACCATTCCGAGCGAGAAGCGAAAGATAAAGTTTCCTTTGTTCATCAATAAAATCGTTTTTTTTTCCTCGCTCTTCTCTCTCTCTCTCTCTCTCCCTCCTCTTGTTCCTTCTATTTTTACATGTTGCTACCATTGCCTTCATCTTCATCATTACTTTGCTGGCAAGCAAGCAATGAAAAAGGGTACAACAGAACATGTAGACTATTTCCCGTGAGGTTTCTAGGATCACTTTTGTTTCTATTTCCATTCGTTTTTTTTTCTTCTTTTTTTCTCTCACACACACTCTCTCTCTCTCTCTCTCTTCTGTCTTTGCTTTTGTTGATGATAGGCGCTAGTTCAACCCGATGAATGACTATCATAAAATATTGAGCAATGTCTGTGTATTATAGGCTTTATGGTCCTATCATCAATTGGAAGGTCATATTAGCAGTAGTTCAAATAAACAATGTTGCATTATTGATCTCGACTAACAAACACATCGATATAGAACGAATTATTTTGTTAGCATTTAAAGAAGCAAAGAAAAAAGAAAAGACCATAAGAAAAAACTAATGAAATTAAGTCTCACGATAATAACGACATTCTATTGCTTATTAAGTTGAATTCAATAGAGAGTATCTAACATCGTTGTCATTATCATGCACAAACCAATTAATGTTAAAAAGTTCAGAATAAATAAATAAAAAAAAAAAGAAGAAATTATCTGTTTTATTACTTTAGTGATTTTACAAATTTTGTCACGTAAATCATGTCAATGTCTTATAAAAATACAAAATAAATACTGTTTACTGATGCATCATTGAATATAAGAAGATTTTTATTTCGGTTGAGTGACAATTACAAAATAAGAATAGAATTAAAAGTACATTATAAATGAGTTCAACATAGAGAAAGAAAAAAATTTTCATCTTATATTTCTATTAAAGATGAAATAAAAATACTTATGTTTGTTCTTGATGTAGCCGATAAATCAACAGTTTCTTTTTTTTTCTTGTATAACCAATTTCGGTTAGACTAGAAAAAGAAATTCTAACGGTTAATTTCGGTGTTTGTTTTTTTTTTATTTAAACCGTGTCATTCAAAAATCTTGCATGAATAAGTTGGATTCTTGACAGACGCATTTAAAAATAGAACTTTATCATGTTATGACGTATTATAGAAATACGTCAGAATTTCCTATTTGTTATTAATTAACATGATCAGAATATATTAGATGATGTAAATAAAGGATTATGTAAAATAGCCTATGAAGATAAATTAAAAAAGTACATCAATTCTCGCAGATCTTCATAAAAAAAGAGATTTACCTAATGTAGTAGCCCTTTGCATACGATAGACGCATATAGACGTTTCTCGTCCCAGAACGTTTCAGACTTATTGATGCATACTGTTTATCATTGATATAACTGGCATTGCTATACATGATTTAGTACGAGCAACAGACATATACATGTTACCAGACTTTGAAAGATAAATAGTATTGATTAGAAATGAAAACTAATTTAGCTTAGCTAATTTCGTATAGTATTCTTTCACTTCGTAAAAAGAAGAGGAATTTCATCCTGAAAGAATTATTCATTGATATTTTCAAAGAAAAATTTTATTTATCAAAATAAAATAAAATGAATACAAAATAATATTTATAAGCAATATGAATAGTTTAAAATGAAGATATTAATAAAGATTTTGAATGAATAACAAAAACAATTACAAAAACAACAACAAAACGTTAATATTAAATAATGAATTATTGAAACAAGATATGATGAAAGATGATCTTTTACTCATATAAGATACAAGTCATTTAAAACCATTATTAAACATTTGATTTTCTTTTTTCTTTCTTTAGGTTTAATAATAAGCTTTCGCCGTTCTAAAATATAGAAAATATAAAAGTTAAATTAAATCCAATAAATATTGAAACCTTGGATAAAATTGATGCATTCGTTGAATACCATGTTGAGGTGTAAATCGTGCATGAATTTCACCTAAATCTTGTTCAGTTGTGTCTTGTATACTTTGTGGTACGAATACTTCCATTTTCTATTTAAATAAAACAACTAAAAAAAGCAGTAGATCATTATATGTATATACTTGTGTTTCATAACTTTTCGATTGACGATTATCAATGTGCACTGGTATTTGTCGAATTCCATTGGATTTATTATTTAAATTATTTTTAGATTGTATACGATGTTGATAACGACGCCAAAGAAGACATAAGACAATAATAGCAACAATTGATAAAAAAAATATAAGAATTCCTAAGACAAGTAATGCAATCCAAGGTTCATCAATTTGTTTGAATGCAGAATATTTACTATCATACATTATTTCCATTATGAATCTAAAAGAAAGAAAAAGATATTGTCTTTGATTTATAATAAATTATGTAACTAACGTATTTTCTGTTCTAACTGAATAACGATAGACAGAAAAATCAAGAAAAAATTTGATGTGTCTATACACATATTGTTTTATTCTTCATGTATAATTCAATCATCAACAGTGAATGACATACAAAATTTGGTTAATCCCCATTTGGTTTGTATATATCAACGTATGTAGGCATACAAAGACACAAGAATAAGGTAAATAGACTTACAAATTGTGTGACGAAATATACTGATCTATTCTTTTTTTCTCTCTTTCTTTTCTCCTTCATCGTCTTTTCATATAGCTAATCAGCTTTTCTCTTATTATATTGATTTGCAAATATGAAAGACAAAAAGAATTTTGACATTTTAGAAATAAATTTGCAGTTTTATTTATTTGATATCCTTGGCATTAGACTTTTCTCGTTTTTTTTTGTTGAAATATATTTTATTTCAACAATCACTTGTGCCTATGATACTCCATATCTTATAACATTTTTTGTACGATTTAATTATAACATGTACATGTGGTGCTGAAAGTAGTAAACCACAAATAATTATCTATTGATTAATGACACTATAAACAAAACATGTAGTTATAGTTTATTTTGTCGCTTTGATAAAATATACATTTAATTTTATAAGAATTAGTATGTGTTATAGGAACATTTCGGCAAACTTGAGAATTGAAATTATGTTGATATTTTAGATATTTGTCTTTGGAATCAGATGGTATGACATTCTACGGTTGATGAGATCGATCATTATAGTACAATATTCTAATTTGAAATAACAGTTGAAGAGACAATAATTGTCAAAATTTGTTTACGTAAGAGAAAAATTAACTATCTTTGAAATTACAACGTATAATGAGGTGAACAAAAGTCTGAGTTTACTCGATTTACTTATTTTTATTATGTTTCAGATCTATTTGTAAATCAATCGTGCATAAATAAACTAATTGAACGAATTGAAAAAAAATCAATATATAAAGCAGACATGAGCAATTTCATTAGATTATGATCAATAGATAAGACAGTCACAATGAAATGTAACTTTAAATAACAATAGACTTCTGAAACTTAGTTTTCAACTTTTTGGCTACCACCGAGACAAATATGCGTCATGAACTTTATCAGTGTCTAAAAACTAACTCAATAAATCGTAGTATATATAGCTTTTTAGATTTGCTTGCATAGAAATAAGCATCGGGTATCTGAAGTTTGTGATACCGCTATTTGATAATGGTATCTTCGAAAGTGGTGCCTTCATAAAAAAGGAGTCTGCATAGGTAACAGTTAATTGGTTGCATATAGGGCTATCTTTGCTTCTCTTTTTTCTTATTCGAGAATTTATCACAGTGCGTCTCCAAGAGGTTCCACGTCGACTGACCATTCAGTGCTCATCCGTTATGATTGATTGCCAGATTCCTCAAAGAAGATGCAATGTTTGCAGCAATACTGAATAATATGCGAAGAAACAGAGCGGCACGAGCTACTAGGTGTACCGAATGTAATGTTTGGGCTGTGTACTACGAACTATTTCAACGATTTCCATACTTTGCAGATGGTTTAACTTTATCTCTTATAAATCTGTAAAATTGAATTAAAAATAAATAGCTACAATGATTTTCTCAAGAGCTTTTTCTCTCCGTTATATTATGTCGATAGTCAGAAGGTTAATCCATTAGATCGATCGAAATGTCGACACTTACCCTTCCTTGAAAAAAAAAGAACTTCGAAAAGTTCTTCTTAGTTTTTCTCGCTAATTTCTACGTTATTTATTAATGAATTCTTATAAAATTAAATGTACTTTATTAAAATGAAACATTAACTATCTATGTCGTACGTTTGTTCGTACTCCTGCCGATAGGAACACATTATACCGAATGGTCTATCGATGATTTTTGTCCGGCTTGAATCACATGTGCGCAAACCTCTTTCGCCGTTCATAGCAGCGGCGAGGATAGAGAAGGTCAACGAGAATTCAGTACGATCCTCTAACAACTGATGACAAGAGACATCATGCTCCTTTCCAAAGGTTTCTGAGCAATGGAGAAAGGCGCTGAACGACATTAACGACAAAACTTAGACTATTCTCGAACATTACAAAGCATTGCACGAAACGCTAATCGCTGGAATGTGTTTGTAAATGTTCTACATAGTCCAGTGTTTTTATATTTTTGTGCAGATAAAAATTTATATGCTAGATATCGACGATAATAGACAGTGATGCATTGATTTGTCACATTCGTTATATGATCAATAGGAAATGTGTAAACTGACTAAGCTATAACTTTGAGAAATGATCAATATCAGTGTTTCTCAGTTTATCAAAATATGTCATAGTGCGCCGAGACGTGCTGTCCATACAATGGATATGCACAACAGACTTATTTGACAGTTAAATTAATGGTAATAATAATAATAACTAATATCGTTAAAATAAGAAAAACAGAATACGAAAATAAAGAGGGACGAGTGAATAGCCATAAAGTGAACCAAAATAGAGCGCTAGTGAAAATAATCTGTTTGAAACGAAGAAATAACTACCCATGGAACATGTCCAATCGCTAATCACCGATCGAAGTGATATTTTGCTTATAAATAGGACTCAGTGAGACTTACAAAAAAGATCTGAATGAATTTCTCTCCGAAGACCATCTTTATGGAATTACGACCATTTTATTGGATTTTTAGCTTATGGCAAGGTACTCATAGAAAAACCAAAAAAAAAAGAATTTTCATCTGAATTTTTATCTATAAATAGATCTCTTGATGTTGAATATATCATGAAAGTTTCAGTCAAAGCGAATGGTTTCTTCTCGACATATTGAGTATTAGAACAAACAATCATGTATCACAAAAAAGTCATCGAGTCAACTTTTCTTCAGTGTTGAATATGTCGAGAAGAAACCATTTATGTTCGCTACAACTTACAAGATATATTCAGAGGCAAGAGATCTATTTACAGATAAAAATTCAAATGAAAATTCGTTTTTTTTTATTTTTCTATAAATACCTTGTCATAAGCTGAAAATCCAATAAAACTGCCATAACTTCATAAAGAAGATCTAAGAAGAGAAATCGATTTACACTTTTTCAAGTTTCATTGAATCGTATTTATCAGCAAAACATCACTTCAATTGATGGTTCATAATTGGATATATTTTCTCGTATGACAGATCGTTTTTCTGGCGATTGATTATTTTTGAAAAACACCTATAATCTATTAGAGATCTTTCACTTAACATATTTTGTATTAGTAGAATGAGGCTAAAGAACACATATGAGTACCACATTTTAGCCTTGAAGGAGCTACTATGACCAGCTCTTCTGAAGTGTCACATGAACTGAGTACTACGATTTGTAATCTTTTTAAATTTATTTTTCAAAAAAATGCGATAAATAAGGAAGCAAACTACATACAAAACAAAAAGAATACAGATCCATCTAATTTTAAATTTTAAAAATAAATAGATGAAGCTATCATGAAGATGAATTTTTTCTTTGTATATCTTTTATTTATAGTCGATACCAACAGTTGACGTGTTTTTCGATGACATAGTTGCAATATTAGCTAATAAGCCTTTTAATTCACCAATAGCTTTTCCTGGATTTAAACCCTAAAAAACAGATGAGTCATCTGACTTCTGTTGATAAATTATTTTCTTTCTTATACCTTTGGACAGGCTTCCGTACAATTCATAATTGTATGACAACGATACAATGTAAATGGATCACGAAATTGTTCTAATCGTTCTTTTGTATATTCATCACGTGAATCAAAAATCCATCTAAAATTCAAATTTTTTTCTTTCAATAAAAAACAAAAATATATTCAGTACATACTTATAAGCTTGCATAAGAACAGCTGGTCCAAGATATTTGTCAGCATTTCACCAATAACTTGGACATGACGTTGAACAACATGCGCAAAGAATACATTCATACATACCATCCTAAAATAAATTAAATTTAAAACAAAACGAATATACATTTAAATATATACAAACCAATTTTTTACGATCTTCAACACTTTGAAATAATTGTTTATCACCAACAGCTGTTGGTCTTTTACGTTTTAAATAAGGTTCAATCATTTTATACTGCAAATAAAAATTAGTAAAATCCTAGAAGAATAAATTAATGCAAAAAAAAACTGAATAGAAAATTTTTATTCCAACATACAGGAACAAGATCGTTAATAACATACATATGTGGAAGTGGATGAATTTTTAATGGTTTATTTGAATCATCGATTTTACTAGAATATATCAAAGGAAAAAAAAACACGATAAAAAAATATGTTAAGAATAAGAATTTATTCGAACCAAATGCAAGCAAGTGTATTACGGCCATCAATATTCATTGAACAACTTCCACAAATACCTTCACGACATGAACGACGAAAAGCTAATGTTGGATCAAGTTCATTTTTTATTTTAATAAGAGCATCAAGCACCATTGGACCACAACTATGAAGAAAAAAAGTAAATCATAAAAAAATATATTCAATATCAATAAATACATACTCATTTAAATCTATTTTATAATCTTGTAAATATGGTTTTTTATTTGGTTCTTTGGGATTCTATTAAAATGAAACTATTCGACTACAGCAAGAGAAAATGCAAATTACCCAACGATAAATCGAAACAGTTTTTATCCGAGATTGCGATTCACGTTTTAAATGTTTCATATCGGGATTTTTTGTATCTGGTGTATTTGTTTTTGTTACTGTTGCAGTGGCAGTATTTCGAACCTAGATTAAAATGATAACAATTATAATATAAATATTTAGAACACATAAATAAATATATGAACATGCCTGTGAAATAAATAATCGACAGGTACTATCAGCTACTGTTGTTGTATTAGTAAGTACACGAAACATCTCTAGAAAACAGAATTTTTAAAAGAGAATGTTTCTTCTCTTACAGTTACGTTAATTAGGCTACAAGCAAGCCTACTGATATATCTACTACCATAAGTTAATGTGAATGATTCATTGCATAATTTCTATAACGAATCGAATGATGCACTTATACACGTCGCTTAATAACAGGATCAATTAAAAAGATTTTTTTCAAAAGAGAATTTAGGCAAAGTCTACAATATCATTATATTATATTCTATTTTTGTCTTCATCATTTCTTTTTCATCTTGTTTGTATCAATAAGTAGCGTCATCTATTAGCTTGTCTCAAAATATATAAATCTTGATCAACTACTTAATTATAATAAAAAACGTGATATAATGCATTTAGAAATAATCACTGAAAGAAAAAAAAGCGTATTCGGTCCGTCCATCCACAAGTTTCTTTTATTCTAACTATAATTCCAACAATTCGTAAAGAAAGAAGTGCTTGAAAAGTAATTATAACAGCAAAGTTCAATTACGTTAAAACCAAATAATTAAGTTTATTGCATGACAGATATTGTACGAAACAAAAGTCATATTAGCAAACGAATTTACATGCAAAATTGACGTCTTTTTTGACTACACTTGTTAATCTTTCTCTATCGCAAAAAGCTCTACAGCTACATGAAAACTACGGAAAATTTCTTTCAATTATTTCACAGTACAAATAAATAAAAATAGAGAAAAATCAAGTAATAATTGTAGTCGATTCATGTCTATGCGTTACATGAAATAATGTAAGTGTTTTTTTTTTGCAATAGAGGCAATATAAATACCTAAAGCATGATCAAGCATGTCTTTGCATACCTTAGATAATAAAAGTAATCAAATAAAGAAACTAAGATAACAGATAATAGCTTGATGTTTGAAGAGCGTTTCAGAAGCATCATTTCGGTCGCTGACATGAAAACGAAGAAATTCTACATAGCTCCGAATTGCATGAAGGTCAAATTAAAACATATATGAATGAATAAATTTTTATGAATTAGTAACTAGCAATTATAGTTCACTAGAGTGATAAGTTTTCAACTATATTGTGTTCAAGAATAGCTATGACGAGTACTTTCTAATTTTTTCATTGTTCTAGATCATACTGTCGTGATTTGTGATAGTAGTATTGCCAGTATTCATAATAAATCTCTCAAACTTATGAATCTTGCATAAATCATTTTAGAACAAACGATTCAAATAAGAATGAATGTTATTTTTCTTTCAATAGATTAGCTTACTATTGTCAATAGTATATCTCCTATGGATTTTGTCGTTAAACTCAGAAGCATATGTTTTACATTGTAGCATCTCGTATTCATTGTTCTAGTATTGTTAATGAGTGCACTCTTACGGCTTTATATTTATCGAGTTTTAATTAAAAACAGCATGGTGTCTTAAAATTGCCAATAAAAAAAAGTTAAACCTATTGATAATGCTCCTCACACATCTGTGGTTTTTACCGATTATTTTTCTCATGAATTCATCTATCTATAATATTCATTTTCTTTTACCAACAGTTCTATTTTTGTCTAGCACTGTTGTAATAATAATAATAATTCATTTTTATCATTCTTATTTAATTCATTTCAACGAAATTTACTATGCATTACACTAAGTACGATATCTGGCTTATTTTAAAATGGAATTGTTCAAAAGTAAGTCAATTCAAATTTTACTTATTAGAATTTTATTGTTTTAGAATTCTATTGTTGATATGTCTATTTAATAAATAGAAAGATTACAATTTTTTCATCATGTTAAATGATATGTTATTGATGATGTTTTATTTACATTTTTATATATGAAAAGTTCTTCTATTTTATCAAAAATAATTCGGTATTTTTACACATATTCAATGAACAAAAAAGCATAGTTTTCCTTACGCGTCATTAAGAGATATGCGCTAGCTGTTTTGTCAATATTTGAATGTCAGAGAACGTTGACAAAGATAAAAAAAACACACCAACATATACTAGCTCACCATTGCATATTCATTGGCTACTCATTTTCTCTTCTTGCTCTTTGTTTTTACTGTTCTGTATTTTTTTAATGTGGACGATAACCTCGACATTCGAAAAAACAAATCTACACGTGCTCTTCTCATTCTGCTTAAGGGCAAATAATACATACCTAAAACAAGAAAGAATAAACAAACGAAAATCTTTTTATAGGAATCATTGCGAAACCTGAAGTGAATATGTCATCACCAAGTGAAGAAACTGCCTTAGTTACCTTTTCAAATGATAATGTTCTTGAACGACCGCAATCACGTTTATGGCGATTATTTCATGGAACGCATTACATGATTGGTGGTCTTACTTTTATCACTGGATCATGTATGTATTTTCCTAGTGTCTATAATAAATACTCATCTGCATTGAATGCTGGCGGATGGCTTTTTACAATTGGTTCATTTTTCTTTTTACTTGCTGATTTACAAGAATGGTGGTATTATCGAGTTGGTTGTTTTTGTGATCGTAAATATCAAATAGCATTAGAAACTCATCATGCTATTCTATTTCGTAATCCACGAAATACATTAATTGGTCTATATGAACGAGCAGAAGTAGGAATAAATTTTTTTATGTCTGCTTGTGGTTCTGCATTTTATCTAGCTGGATCAATATTATTTATTCCAGTGTTCGACAAAGAATTAATTTTTGGTGAATGGTTTTTTATTATTGGTTCAGCATTCATTTATTTATCTCAAGCTTGGAAAGTATATCGGTCAGCTTGTACAAATATTCATAATCGACATGATCGTCGATTTCGTTTATCAAATTTATTAAATGATATGCCAGCATTAGGTGTTGATGGTTTTGCTGGTATTGGTGGTGTCTTTTATTTTATTGGTACTATTTTATTTCTTCCATTTTTCAATAAGACCCATTCGGATGCTGTTCGCGTTGCAATTCTATTCGTATGTGGTGGTACAAGTTTTACGTTGTCGGGCTTATTTCTTCAATATCGTCATCATTGTATTCATCATGATTAACATTTGAAAAGTACCATTATAGTTTTAGTTTCTAGATACACACATAGTACTAAATATAGAATAAGTACATCAGGAAACCAAAGCTATCAAATAAATATTGGTAGAGAAAAAAACATAATTCAATCAACAAATGCTCACGTGACCGGACATGTTGTCATTAATTTTTCTTTTTTCGTTTTTGAATAAAGGAATAAAACAGAAAAGAAGAAATGATCAGTAAAAAGTGTAATAATAACAACAACAATAACAAATTAATACGATAGTACTTTCAACTGTTCCCCTCACAAGAAACAAATGAACAATTCTCATATATGTGCAAACTACTCAAATAGGAAGAAAGACGACAAGAATGAAAAAAAAAGAGATCAAACGTTGTTTATCACAAAAAATGCATATCTATATAGATGGGTTAAATCAAACGAAAAAAAAATTATGCTTTTGAGATTATCATAGTATAGACAACAACACTATGGTTCCTAATTAGTTTTGAGAGTGGAAGGGACTACAATTTGGCAGAAGTGTCTTGATTTGTCTTTCTGGTAGAGATCGAATCGACGATGCTAAAATCATCGACTTTCTGTAGCGCCAACCCATATGGGTCTCAAATATTCAACAAGATGAAGCTACTTTAATCATTTTGGGAAACCAACGGGGGAAACGAGAAAATTTCGTACTCCACCCAAACTTCAGCATAGTCCAAGGGTAAGTCAAAGCTATCCTCTACAGTTTCTTAGGTATGTCAAGTCTACTATCAACATGTATGACAAGCATATTGATTTAAGTTCATTTTATATAAATCTGTCCATCTGTAAATCCCAAATATTTCACCGTACTTCAAGAATTGAGTATTAGAAGAGCACGATGAATTATTTACGATTTATTGACAAACAGGCTAATACAAAATCAAGTCCAACCAATATGTTTGAAATATCCTTGGAGTACATAGAAGTACAGTGAAGTAGGAATAATATATGGAGTTTTCGACTTCTCTCCCTTCATAGGCATGTGGGTGTTGATTTGGATGAGGCTATGGGTATAGAAGTTGATGAGAGTATCGATAAACAAATATAAAGCCATTAGTCGTATTCCTAAGTTAAACTTTAATCAATTAGTAATTCTTAATGTTTTTCATGAGTTCTGTCTTAACTTGTCCAGTAGAAACTCGTATTAAACTCTAGTATAGTTTGTATCCAAATGAGATTCTAGCAGGGCATATATGGTGCCATATGACAGTCAATACATCCTGAACGAATCTCATTTTGATAAAAACTCTATTATACTTGAAACCGTGCATCGATGCTTGGAAGTTGAAGTCATTCTGAATTACTAGCCTATCTGTATATGGATTTGAAGTCCATGAAAGTAGCAACGTCATAGCTCGATTTGGATCTCTCACTTTAGAAAATGATCCTTGTTCGGAGTTCACTGAGATAACACATATAACTAACTTCAGCAGTACGGTTCTTTACATAAAATGTGATTTTGAAAAAAAGATTTGTTCACATTTGAATTCTCCATGTGAACATTATGTTATTATTTGCTTCATCATTGTATCATTCGCAATTCCAAACCGACAGCCAGAAACTATATTTATATATCTATTTGTCACAGACGCTTTGATTCTCTTAAGACGAAATCAGTTACTTTCTTCTCATTAAGCTTTCTTTGACTTCATTCAAACTTCGGAGCGTATAGACAATACAACAACTACTCTATCGAAGTTGCCTTCTCTAGAAAAAACCGAAATAATTGCCGTCCCAAATAATGAGTGAGATCGTATCGATAATCTCTCTTTTTGTTTGAAAAGTCAAGTGGATCCTGCTAGAAATTGTTGTTGTACTGATTCGAAGATCTTGCAAAGGATTTGCGACAGAACTTTATCAAGATCCCGTACAGCTTCTCACTATTTTTTGACCTAGATTTAATCAAAAGATTTCAATGATTCCTGATAGAAAACATTTTTAATAACTTGCGGGCTTACTTGATTA